GATGTACTATTTGATGCTGGGGGGGGGGGACTCCCGGCCTTTATTTTTGGACCTTTTAATGATCTCTAACGACCTATGACGACCTCGAATGACCTTCAAATTGAAAATGTTATAACTATGGCTTTATGTATATCAAATGAAATCTAGGAACCCAAATAATACAGTAAAAGCAATGGATTTGGTGTTTGACCTTCTAATGACCTCTAACGACTTATGACGACCTCTAACGTTTTATATGCATAAAGCCATAGTTGAAACATTTTCAATTTGGAGGTCATTCTACGTCGTTGAGGTCATTAGAAGGTCCAACACTGAATTCGTTTCTTTTACTGTATGGACTGGATTCCTAGCTTTCATTTGATATGCATAAAGCTATAGTTATAAGTTTTTCAATTTGAAGGTCTTTAGAGGTCGTTATAGGTCCAACACTGAATTCGCTGCCACTACTGTATTTCCTGGGTTCCTAGCTTTTGTTTGATATGCATAAAGCCATAGACATCAATTTGAAGGTCAATTTGTCAAATATGACATCTCCATCCTCTTTAACAACATTTACAGTTTACACATAAAATCTGACAAATTGTGTTTTTGTCCTAAAATCTTTGTCATTTAAGTTAAGTTAAAAAATGACAAAGTATGAATGATTTAATAATACCAAATCACTTTTAGGCCTTTACACAGAACGGAAATCTGCGTGAGCACATGCGGGTTCATACAGGAGAGAAACCGTTCAGCTGCAAACAATGTCCGTCATCCTTTACAACCAGCTCCCAGCTGAGAAATCATGTGGCGCGGCACGCCGGCAACAAGAAGTTCAACTGTCCTCACTGTCCCAAACGGTTTCTACACATGGACTCACTTAAGATTCATGTCAGGCGTCATACAGGAGAGAAACCATACTCCTGTGATCAGTGCAAGAAAAAATTTACAGATTCAGCCTCGTTAAATAAACATGTTCAAACTCATGACAAGGATAGAAGTGTTCAAACTTGTAAGGTGTGTGGGAAAGGATATTCCGATAAATCTAACCTGTTGAAACATATGAAAACTCACAAGGACGGAGACGAATCGAAGAATACTGTTTGGAATATCATCAAGGATGTCAGTGAAAACTGTACACAGGTAAAGTTGATAGTTATCTAACAAATATATCGGAAAGATAATTCTTCATCCTGATCAAAAACTAAAAAAGCTATTCTGGATTCTGATTTAAACAGAAAATAAACTATTCTTGATACTGATTTAAACCTTTATAAATAACTATTCTTGATGCTAATTATATTTATGATAACTATTTTCTTGATCCTAATTATGTTCATGATAACTATATTCTTGATCCTAATTACGTCCATGATATAAATATTCTTGATCCTAATTATGTCCATGATATATATATTCTTGATCCTAATTATGTACATATATATATTCTTGATCCTAATTATGTACATAATACATATATATTCTTGATCCTAATTATGTACATGATAAATATCTTCTTGATCCTAATTATGTACATGATAAATATCTTCTTGATCCTAATTATGTCCATGATATATATTTTCTTGATCCTAATTACGTCCATTATAAATATATTCTTGATCCTAATTATGTTTATGATATATATATATATATTCTTGATCCTAATTATGTCCATGATATATATATTCTTGATCCTAATTATGTACATGATAAATATCTTCTTGATCCTAATTATGTACATGATAAATATCTTCTTGATCCTAATTATGTCCATGATATATATTTTCTTGATCCTAATTACGTCCATTATAAATATATTCTTGATCCTAATTATGTTTATGATATATATATATATATTCTTGATCCTAATTATGTCCATGATATATATATTCTTGATCCTAATTACGTCCATGATATACATATATTCTTGATCCTAATTATGTCGATGATATATATTTTCTTGATCCTAATTACGTCCATGATAAATATATTCTTGATCCTAATTATGTTCATGATATATATATTCTTGATACTAATTATGTCCATGATATATATATTTTTGATCCTAATTACGTCCATGATAAATATATTCTTGATCCTAATTATGTCCATGATAAATATATTCTTGATCCTAACTATGTTCATGATGATATACATTCTTGATCCTAATTATGTCCATGATATAAATATTCTTGATCCTAATTACGTCCATGATTTATTTATTCTTGATCATAATTAGGTTCATGATAAATATATTCTTGATAATAATTACGTCCATGATATATATATATTCTTGATCCTAATTATGTTCATGATAAATATATTCTTGATCCTAATTATGTCTATGATAAATACATTCTTGATCCTAATTACGTCCCCATGATATATATTCTTGATCCTAATTACGTCAATTTTATATATATATTCTTGATCCTAATCATGTTCATGAAATATAAAGTCTTGATCCTTATAATGTCCATGTCTAGGATGACGACGCTGATGAGCTTCACCAGGTCATCTACGTAGCATATGAGGACCGAGGCGAAGGGGAGCAGACCACCATCGACCTCACGGTCAAGGACGGTCAACAGATTAGGCTCGTCGCGCCACTCAACATTGACCCACTCACCTTCGCTGCAGAGTATCTCAAGGACTTGCAGAGTATACCGGAGACGGATTAGAACCTTGATGAATATACCTGACAGATCAGAACCTTGCAGAGTATACCGGAGACAGATTAGAATCTTGATGAATATACCTGACAGATCAGAATCTTGCAGAGTATACCGGAGACAGATTAGAACCTTGATGAATATACCGGAGACAGATTAGAACCTTGCAGAATATACCAGACAGATCAGAACCTTGCAGAGTATACCGGAGACAGATTAGAATCTTGCTATACCAGAGACTGATTAGAACCTTGCAGAATATACCAGACAGATCAGAACCTTGCGGAGTATATCAGAGACAGATAAGAATCCTGCAGTTTATACCGGAGACAAATCAGAACCTTGCAGAGTATACCGGAGACAGATTAGAACCTTGCAGAGTATACCGGAGACAGATTAGAACCCTGCGGAGTATACCAGAGACAGAACCTTGCAGAGTATACCAGAGACAGATTAGAACCTTGCAGAGTATACCGGAGACAGATTAGAACCCTGCAGAGTATACCGGAGACAGATTAGAACCTTGCAGAATATACCGGAGACAGATTAGAACCCTGCAGAATATACCTGACAGATCAGAACCTTGCAGAGTATACCAGACAGATCAGAACCTTGCGGAGTATATCAGAGACAGATAAGAATCCTGCAGAGTATACCGGAGACAGATTAGAATCTTGCTATACCAGAGACAGATTAGAACCTTTCAGAATATACCAGACAGATCAGAACCTTGCGGAGTATATCAGAGACAGATAAGAATCCTGCAGAGTATACCAGAGACAGATTAGAACCTTGCAGAATATACCAGACAGATCAGAACCTTGCGGAGTATATCAGAGACAGATAAGAATCCTGCAGAGTATTCCAGAGACAGATTAGAACCTTGCAGAATATACCAGACAGATCAGAACCTTGCGGAGTATATGAGAGACAGATAAGAATCCTGCAGAGTATACCGGAGACAAATCAGAACCTTGCAGAGTATACCGGAGACAGCTTAAAATCGCTTGATTATTATTATTATTGTTTAAATATGCTAAATGTTGCATGGAATTTACTGGCCGTCATGAAACAAATGCCTAAGTATGAAGATAAAATGGAAAGATTTACCTAGTCACATTTTTCCTTCGATTTTTTTTACCATATTCATATATTTATATAAAGTTTATTTATTTGTGATTTTATTACACTTTCAGTGTTAAACAATTTATTAAACTATTGGTTACCATTTTACTCAATAAAAGCATGTTATATTTCTTGTAAACCCTTTCTGATGAGTTTTCTCCAATTTTCCAGATAAATGAAGCGTAAATATGTTGAAGTTGAGGAGGAGGGGAAGAAAATGAAAACAACAAATGGTGTTCACACCAAACATCCAGCAGGAATACTCATCAGTTTTTAGTCTTTTTCTACAGGGTGCGCAATAAATAAAGGATTAGAATTATATTTAGATTGGTTGTTTGGCAATAACGTCGAATACCCGCTGTAATGAACGAAAGAAAATCCATGAAAATCTATTTAAAATGTGAAATTCAAAATGTTAATGCAAATCATTACAGACCGGAACCCCACATTCTCTTTAAGAATTAGTATAGTCATTTCAAGATTGTTTATGTGGTTCCTAAGGATGCGATGCGACTATTTTAAGTGACCTTAATTCGCGCATCTGATAGTGCTAAATAAACTCAAAATAATGCTGACCATACTTAATTAATCTTGGGATATGGAAAATGTGTGTTGCTTTGTACCTTGAAAGCTGTCTTAAGATCAAGTTTCAATTTTTATTGTTTTATTATTATTATTATTATTATTATTATTAAAGAAATAGTCAAAATTTCTAAACGCATGAAATTCATACAGCTACTTTTTTAACCCAAATTTGTCATTTAATAACAGCCCCAGAGAAGTTTTAGTTAGTTAATGTCATCATCAATTTCTCTTTTTGAATGGAACACACAAAAATGTTAAAATGGTATATTTCTTCTAAAAATTTAAATTTGATCATTCGTTAGATAGTTCTAAGACTATGTCAGAGACACGCTTGGACTGAAAGATGGAGCCGTAAATGTATCCAGAAGAAATCTATCTAAAGAAATAATTTTTAATAATACCATATCTCAGTCCTGAGCTAGAAAACTTCTAATTGGATTGTGGAATTAAAACCCCCCAAAAACTTTTTAATTGATTTTTAGATTGCTGAAATTTTGAACCTAAGGTATTGAAAGTGAGCGTGTACTTGATTGATTAAAACGAGTAGTTTTAGGACGTATGAATGAGTATTTTCCGGTTATGTAGGTAGAACTGAAGAGGAGAGGGACGGAGTAAAAATGAAATGTTCAATATGTTTATGGCCGGCTGGATCTCCACAGTGCTACCACTCAGCCAGGAGTATTCTCAGGTTTATAGAATTCTCTTCTGATCTGATTTGATTCTTCTCTGATCTGATTCTACTCTGATCTAATTCTACTCTGATCTGATTCTGATCTGATCTGATTCTACTCTGATCTGATTCTGATCTGATCTGATTCTGATCTGATCTGATTCTACTCTGATCTGATCTAATTCTGATCTGATCTGATTCTACTCTGATCTTATTCTGATCTGATCTGATTCTACTCTGATCTGATTCTGATCTGATAAAAACGTATCAGTAAGGCTTTGCCCCTTTCTATAGCCTCAAGTTTACCCCAATAGTGATGAGCTAGTTTTCTTGAAAAATCAAATATTTTATTAAATAATTATATTTCAATAATCATCTCTTTTTTAGATAGAGATTGAGAAAAATGTTCTTGCAACGATGGCTTTCAAGTTGAAATTCAAGTTTTCCACAAATCTTCGATTTGATAACGACATAATCTCGTGATTTAGAATCAGTCGAATGTATTCATTTGTAAACAAAATCTTTACTCTTTAAGATAAGAACATGCCATCAGGTATTATCTAACTTAACTTAAATAGTTAGATTTGATGTCATGTCCAAACCTTATAAATTACAATAGCAATCTCTTAACTCTACAAGATACAATATCATACCTCTACAAGACAGAATCTCATAACTCTAAAAGACACAATCTTTTAAATTTACAAGATACAATCTCATAACTCTACAAGACACCATCTTATAACTCTACAAGACAAAATCTCATAACTCTACAAGACAGCATCTTATAACTCTACAAGACACAATCTCGTAACTCTACAAGACACCATCGTATAACTCTACAAGACACCGTCTCATAATTCTACAAAACACCGTCTTATAACTCTACAAGACACCGTCTCATAACTCTACAAGACACCGTCTCATAACTACAAGACACCGTCTCATAACTCTACAAAACACCCTCTCATAACTTTACAAGACACCGTCTCAAGGCACAATCTCTTAACATTCCACGAGACACGATATATTTTAAAATTTCCTCTTTCTTTTAAATACATTGTACATCATGGTTCCAAACTTAATTAATCTGAATTAACTTTCTTCTAATATCTGTTTCTGCCAAAAAATGTAGAATAACCAATTTATAAACATTAAAGTACAGAACTTTAAATATATGTAATTTAATACTAGTTTGTTTGTTTAAAGGGCTACAATACAGACGTAGCTAGGTCGGGTAACTTATCGAACACATAACATACTCTGGGGAAAATATAAAATTAACACATTGTTTTTTAAATTTTCTGACTAGTGGCTAATCTATATTTTCATTATTATAAACATAAAACATTTGTAATTATAAAAATAATATGTTCCAAGCTTATTTATTTGTAAGAGTAGAAAATAATTAAGTAAGAAATGTGTATTGAATGTATAAGCTATTGTATTAAGGGTCGCTATGGTGTACATACATATATGCACTAAGTATGCATTATATTAACAAACAACATAGTTAGACAGTTTAAAACTTGTAAATATTTTAAACTCGAATAAATTTAAATAATATACTTTATTGGGAGATAAAAATTACAATGAACATTTTTATAATCCACCCGCTACAAAATCGTTATTATTGAACAAAATAATTTTTAAATTTTGGGCTTTCATCAAATTGTTCGAAACTAATCAATTTAAAATCTTTTAATACCCCTGCAGTTATTCCAGTTTGTTATGTACAACATACTTAAATACAAACACCGGTTTTAAAATACCCGCTGGTTGTGAAATATACTGTTCTTTTTTTCCAAATAAGACACTGCCTCTGATTCCTTTGATAAAAGCATAAGAAACAAAAAAGTTGTCATTTAATCATTGCGTGACATTTTTTATCATGTTTTATACAAAATGTTGAATAAAGTATTACAAAATTATGATTAAGGTATATTTGTTGTCTAAGTTTTGTATTAGTTTAATGTACATGAACAAAGCAATCTTCCAATCTACTCCCATAGAAAGAAAAAAGATACAGGTATTAGTTATAAAATTAGATATATAGGTATATATATTAGGTATATTAGGTATAAAATTAGAGATATTTTGCAAATATTTTTTTCCACATGCAGTAAACTTTTTAAGAAATTAAAAGGTTTTTTCATATCTTTATTTCGATTTTACTGTGATGATTTTCTTTTTTGAAAAATAAGAGTTTTCGTTACATAAAATAGTGGGTTATCTTTAATTATATTAATTGCACAAAAGTTAACATACTATTTGCAGTGGTCCATATAATTCCGTCCAATACTATCCGTTAATTGATATATATTACGGGCAGAAATTAACCTTGTTAAATTCCATTCTGCAGAATGTATACTGAAAGGGAGTGTTTCTGTGTATCAGAATGTATTACTTAAATATTGATTAATATTAACATCTTTTAACACCCCAAATCCAGTACACATGTCTCAATTGAATTGACACGTACACTAAAAAACTTGCCGAAGTTCACATGGACAATGAAAATGTATTTTTATGCCCCTAAATCTACTTTACCCGAGCCAATTCGGGAAAAGAAATGGAATTTTATGGACGGCCGTTTGTATTTGTATTATAATTTTTATATTTTATTTTTTATGAATCCGTTTTCAAGAAGGTTTTCTTGACACAGTTAGTATCATGTAAATATGGTAGAATGCCTGTCTGAAGATGTTTATAAAACATCATATTGATATTTTTCATCATGCAAGCATAAATATCCATAATAATAATCTACATTCAGGGTTTACAGGGTTGAATTTCACCCCTTCCCCTCCTTCGCGTACTTTTTACGAGGAACGTTCATTACTTTGTTTGAGATATTGCCGACATTTTATCGGAACTAGTCCTAAAATATCGATAGCGTGGGTGAGAGGGGGGGGGGGCTGTGCTTTCCTTCCATCGATTTGCCGGAACTTCCAAGGTAATGCCAGGGAAAACGATATGAATTACGCAAAGAATCTATTTGGATAGGATTGTCAACAAAAAGGGGATTTTTTTTAACAAATAAAGTGATTTTATGGGATCAAAATGAAGGAAAAAACTGCAGTTTATTTCTGGGTCTCTTACCCACATAACTTATAAAAACTGTAAGTAAGGAAACGCTACTTCAAAGGTTTTCTGAATAAGTTCGTTGATTTTAAAATGAATGCACTCTTAAAAATCCTAAACTTCTATCTTTTATTTTTTCAATGGTTTAACGATAAGAATGAAATTCTGGTGAGTACATTGTGTATAAAATGGTTTGTATGGAGGGTTAAACCGTCCTCATGGAACCGCCGAGGCTTTAATTCATACCTGAGAACTCTAGTAGTATTTCAACCCCAGAGAAAACTAGGTTATCCGTCCCGTCAGTGTCTAATTGCACCCTGATCAATATCTGAACTGAGTTAGAAGTATAGCTTTCCTTCCAAACAGATATAAAATCTTAAACTAACTTTAATCTCAATATTTGAAATTATTTCACATCTTTCAATCATCGGAAACAATTATGTTCGGTTCAAATTATAAAAGTATTTCTACTTAATATTTATTGTATTTTTTTCTAATTTCAGATACACAATGTTTAACGGAGAACATATAGTCTTGTGAAAAAGTTATAAGAAGTGAATAAACTGTAGAAAACTTTGATGCCTGTTACGAGGAAGATTATATACTGGAACGAACTAGAAAAAGTTCAATGGGTTTAATTCAAGATCTCGGAGTTCTCCCTTAAACATGAAAACTGGCCCAGGTCCAGGTAGGGTTTATAAGGATATAAAATTTTACTTAGTATTTTATCTGTGTTAGCGTTTGGCCAATGTGCTGCGATTAGAACAGATTTTAAAGGGACTGTAATCGTAATTTGAAATGACCCTCCATTTGAAGAGTTATGCCCGATTTATTACGTTACCTTCTAAGAATTTATCTAAGTAAATATAAGGAAGATATATTAGAGTTTCCGATTTGAAAAGATGTAAATTTTGTCAATTTACTTTCTTGCCTTTTCTGCACAAGTTTTGATTTTTTTTTCCTAAGCAGTTAAGAGATTTTCTTGAATTTTTTTCTTATCGGGACTGATGGGCGTCGCTTGAAATTTCTGGTCAAAATTCTAAATTTCTCTCCTCTTCCATGGAATTATTGGACCACCTCAAGTTAACATAAATAAATAAAAACTATGCATAAAAATTTATAATTGCTTTCCTCTTCCACGTAATTAATGGACTTGATTAATATATCATAAACCGTATAAGCATGTATATCGAAGAAAAGATAAATGTATTGACCATTCCAATAAAATCTGGGGGGGGGGGAATGCCCCATTTCTATATTTTAGGGTTAAGTACCCTCCCCTATTACCTCATGAGCCGCCTCGATCAGAATAACTATTAACAAAATGTGTTTTTATTCTGTAGTTTCAGAAGAATCAATTCCAGAAATTATAAACATTAGACATTTGTGTGAAACAAGATCATTAGTTGGTTTCCATGCAATTTTTGAATTATGTATTGATTCCTAGTATCTGAGGGAGGTAGAGTAGGAGGGGTTGAATCATCGCTAAATTAGATCAATAACTTCATTTTACTCAACAAAATCCAATAGTTCATCTTTTACAATTTTATTTTTTTTAAACACACAAATACTACAATATGACAAGATCAATAGTAAAGGAAATGAGTGTTTGCCACAAACTCTAATTATTTAATTTCTATATCTTTGTATCTTCATGTTGTAGACCTTTCATATTTTAAACTATCAATTCTAAAATGACTAAGTTTGAAATATCAAAGGTTTACAGGATTGTAGATTGCAAAGATATAGGGATTAGAAAATTTGAAGTTGTGGCAAGTTTGAGGTTCTTTTACAATGTCCTAGTCAGTTCTGACATAAATTTTTAAATTTGATTTCTAATAAGTTATCACATTTTAATTATAGATTTATTTTTTATTACATTTTACACATTTCATTCGACTTCAATTAAGGGAGTTAAGATACACGCTAAAAATAAAATGATTTTAAAAAACGATGAGAATAAACACAATTATGTACATTGTACAGCGTGAATATATACCAAGGATATCTTAAGGGATGTCTTAAAGGAATTGTAAGCGTAATTTCAAGTGACCTTCCAAGAGAAGATGGAAATACTCGATTCACAACGGTACAAGTACTTTGTCTGATCCAGAAAGAATTATATATCAATATTTATAATTTTGAAAAAAAGTTACTTGCACATTTATACTGAAGAAAACATAAAGGAATTATCAGAATTAAACACTTTTAAACCTAGAAAACCTAGTTGTGAATCGGGTATTGCCATCTTTGCATGAAGGCTCACTTGAAATTATTTAAACCCCAATTTTAACCTTCTTTTGTTTTTATCTGTGAGTATTTTCCTGTAAATAATTAAACAAAACCATCACAATTTTGTAAATTTTCCAGTTTATTTCTACATTTTAAAAACTGACAGAAATTGAAAATTTTCTGGGAAAATTTATAATTTCACATTTAAGGTCCATGCGAGTCCACTCGGTTCGGCCGTTTACTGTTTATTGGAAACAACAAACCAATTGACAACATTCATTAAATGCAAGAAAATAATTAAATATATCTTGCTAAGTTATACAATAATGACAAAAAACTGCTAAAAAGCACAAAGACTTTATTAATATAACCTTCTCTCTCAACGTTTTTTATGCCAAACATATTATTTTACTAACTTTGACATCGGATATGTTGATCTTTGGTCTACACTATAGCACTATTCACATCATATGTTTACAACTTAAACATTCGTTTTATTCTTTCAGACTTGAAATGATAAAAGAATAAAGAAATAATTTTAGATTAAATTATTTTCTATGTTTGAAGAAACCATCTTAGGGTCTTTATTCTAAACTTATCAAGGCGAGTCATATATAAACTTTACTGACATTCTTAAATATATTTTTGGATTACAAACATTAAGAAGTAATATGAATATTATGACTTCAAAATTTACCATATTAGTCTTATAAAATAAAACCAAATGATAACATCAAAATAAATGATTGTCAGCACTAAATTCTGATGTTCTAAAATTTAAAAACCTTTTTAGTTAGTTTGGGTTGTTTAATAACAACAATATCAGGCGCGTACACAGGAATTCAGTTAGGGGGGGGGGCAAGTTTTCGCGCGAAGCGCGGAATTTTTTCTTTTTGCCCCCCCCTGGACGATTTTTGCCCCCCCCTGGCCTTTAAAATGCTGTTATTCTATATTAAGTCTACTACATGTCCCCTAGGTGGCCCATTTAGTATTCAAGGACTATATATTACAATGTATCATTCTGTTTAGTTCTATATTACTCTCTGAAGTCCTGAGTAGTCTCCTGAGACTACTCCCCTTTCTATTCCACTCTAGTCCCAATTCAAGGACTACATATTATAATGATCTATCTGTATATGTATTACCCTCTGAAGTCCTGAGTAGTTTCCTGAGACTATTCCCCTTTATTGTCCACTGTTGTCCCAATGGACTACATATTACAATGTATCCATTTGTATAGTTCTGTATTGCCCTTTGAAGTCCTGAGTAGTCCCATGAGACTACTCTCCTTTGTAGTTCTCCGTAGTTCCGATTCAAGGACTATATATATTAAATATATCCCTCTCAATTCCTAAGACTACTTACCTTTGTAGTCCACGGACTATATATTTAAATGTATCCTTCAGTATTTTCGGGAAAACATGCCAAACGCTTGCTAATGCATATAGATATAGTTGTTGATCAAGTATGCGGGGGGTGGGTGGAGATTTTAGATGAAAGGGAAATACTACGGTAAAATTTGAAAATAAATGGCGCAAAGCACCAAGAAAATTTTCAACTATTCTTTTTAAGGGGGAAAACACCCCTTTTGATGATGAGGGCAAGCTTTTTTTATTACCCAGAACACCTGATTTTTACCTTTGCTAATAAATCCCAGGGGGGGCACGAGGACTACTGCCCCCCCTGTGTACGCGTCTGTGCATAATGCATATAGCTATCTATAGTTGTTTATCAAGTATGCAGTGGGGTGGAGATTTTAGATAAAAGGGAAATTTTGAAAATAAACGGCGCGAAGCGCCAAGAAAATTTTCAACTACACTTTTTAAAGAGGAAAACATCCCTTTGATGATGAGGGCAAGCTCTTTTATTTACCCAAAACACCTAACTTTTACCTTTGCCCAAAAATCCCAGGGGGGGTCAGGGCCCCCCTGGGATGCCCAGGGGGGGCAAGAGGACTACTGCCCCCCCTGTGTACGCTACTGAACAATATCTATAACTCCCATTCAGTTCTAAACCTGTCATTCTCCTACTATCTACACTTCCTGCCGCTAATTCTTGTCTTCCTGTCCTCTTCGCTATATCCTCAATATTCGTTATCTCTCTATCTATCTAGCCCCTCCCTTCCACCTGTATATAAACAGGGGAATCATTCTCCTTTCTTTTTGTAAAAAAAAAAATCTTTGAATATCGAAATATTTAAGAAATGTTTATATTTTTTATTTCTCCCAATGTATCCGTGTAATCTCTGCAGAAGTAGAGTAAAACTGTGAAGGTAAACAGAGCACTGCACAACTAGTCTTCTATTTCCCGGCTACAATCTACAATCTACATAATGCGTGTATAGGGAGTCAGGCCTATATCTTTATATACGCATACTTTACGTATACTTGACACATCTACGCTTCATTGTGTTTAACAAAGTAATTCGAAATTCAGCTAAATTTACTACGTGGATAGATTTTATCCGGGTTCGGGATAAAGCTGTAACTCCCAGCCCAGGAGGATCCTACATGTAGTCTATATCAGCTGATTGCCGCGCCTGTAGTTTAACCAGGACCTGGAGAGGAAACCGTTAAACCCTAAAGTTTTCCTCCTTAGTTCTTCAGTGTTTTGAGTTGTATGTGTTTCTCAATACAGTGCCAGTTATAGAGTAAACAAAGTATGAATCAATGATTGATGGTAAAGCTGTATTAGCGCAATGATTTTGAAAATTATGAAACAGTGTTTAAACATGCGTGTTTCTAAATGTGAGGATATCTAAAGAAATATGAGCCATGTTCAACTGTTACGGACGAAACGATGACTCAGTGTGTGAAACTGAGCTAAAAGAGAGTAAACATAAGGCATATGATAAATGTGTCGGGTTCCCTGGTGAACCTGACCAAATAGACGAACCTGAAGTAGTTCAACCTGGAGATAAAACTGAAGATCTCAACCAGAACCTTGATTCAGAACCGTTTCTCAACCCTGGAGATGAGATCCTGAAAGAAGATGGTGCTAACTGTGAATACTGGAGTAGATGCATGCCTAGAGATTACGAGATTGGTAAGATAAGGAATAGCAAGATAAAAGTGACAAAGATATAAGTGAAATGCGGATTGTAAGAAAGAAACTTGAAACTCGACGCAAAACAAAACTGTTTCTGATCCATATATATCATTGTAACCAGGGGGTGTAAACCTTTTATTTTAAACGATTTATTCATTCTTGTCAGTCTTGACATAAAGGAAAACATGGACAGTTCCTTTCTTTTCAGTCTTGAAATATAGGAAAACATAGACATTTCCTTTCTTGTCAGTCTTGAAATATAGGAAAACATGGACAGTTCCTTTCTTGTCAGTCTTGAAATATAGGAAAACATAGACAGTTCCTTTCAGAACATTTATTAAGTTACCAACATCACCTAGTCTAAAAACGTTATTCCTCAAAAACATTTATGATTTGGAGTTTTAAGGTTTAACTTTTTTTATTGTATTTTTTATGTTTTAAAGAGAAGAATAAGATTTAAATCTGAGATGCTAGAACTTGAAACCTAGATAGGTCTGCATGAAACTAGTTATTTCTAAATAGAGCAGAAAAATATATAAACAACAACAAAAATTTAAATATCTAGTTTCCCCTTTGATTATACAATTTTTATGAATTTAAAAAGGCATAATTAACCCCCAAAAAAATCAGACAAGATGTATCAAGAAGAATGTGAGATAAAGTTTTAAAGAATAGTTGGAAAAAAGAAAAGACCAGAATAAGAAATAAAAGAAGGAAGTGAATGAAAACAAGAGAGGTTAAAATGAAGAAAAAGGATAAATGAGGAGTGAGAAAAATTAAATGAATAAAATGAATAAATAAATTTTGAAATATATATTCTGTATAAAAGAATGAAGTTTAATTATAATTAATTCATTTGTTATATTGACACCTGTATAAAGATAATTAAGAATGTGTCATAAAAGTATTTGTATTGGAAAAATCGTCTGAGCACTTAAGCCACAGATTTAAGAAACAAAAGTTTTGCCCTCCTGAGATGGGATTTAAAGGATACGAACAAGGTTTGGCAAACAATGGGATTGAAAGAATACGAACAAGGTTTGGCAAACAATGGGATTTAAAGGATACGAACAAGGTTTGAAGATCTAAGAGAAATTATCTTATTTACATTGAGTACTAAAAGTCGGATAATTAACACGCTTGAAAGTGTTCTGGGTAGAATATTTTAATTAAACTTGAAATATTTTCAACCGTGTCTAAGAACGCAATTAGATTCAGATTTTGAGTGTGCAACTGATTTGCAGAAGTTTTTGCTAAGTTTTCTGTATTCGAGTTCAATACTAATAAAGGGACTGGACGCAATAATCCAGTAGAGGTCTAGGATAAATCATATTGCAAATATCAATTTAAAATGTCCTAATTTAATTTAAAACTATCTGATGTTTTCTTAATAGAATTTTATATATTCCACCAAATATACCCCTAAATTTGATTTGGACTTTCGACGTGAATTTCTCGCTAACAGTCCCTTTAACATGTAATATATTCTGATGTGTACTGGTAACAAACTACGTAAAAGCCAGAGTTTGAGAGTAGGTTTCTAGGATCTAGCTTAATAAATATTTGATAAGTCTGTGAACTTTTAACTATTGGAAAAGATGATGAATAATGTACAGATTATCGACAAATACAGCTTTTCATTGATTTGTAAAGCTTCTGAGGCCGAATTTAAAGAATTTGAGCCGCGGCTTAAATCCACCAAAACCCGGTTTAAATTAAGCGCCGGCTTAAATCTTGTAACATTTGATACAATTTAAAGTGGAACCAACCATATTTAAGCCGCGGCTTAAATTTAAGCCGCCGCTCGAATTCTTTAAATTCGGCCTCTGTTAACTTTGTGTCTAATTTACAAGTTTTAACTTGGGCAAAGGAAATTTGTAAAACACTAGAAATGTATTTTCATGAAATCTAGATCAGGTTTCTGCGTATAAAGATGGCAATGCCTGATTCACAAAGGTACCCTTAAAGCCTGTATCTGATTAATAAAAAAGAAGATATTGTTTTTCTAGTTTTTTATGTGTTTAATTCTGAGAATTTCTATATGTTTTCCTCCAGTAGAAACTCAAGTCACTTAAATATAGAAACCACAATTATAAACTGTGATATTTTACTCATACTTGATCAGATAAAGCTTTTAAGGGTACTGTTGTGAATTGTGCATTCCTAGTTTTGAACGGTGGGTCACTTGAAATAAAGCTAACAGTCCCTTTGATAGTAATTTACCAGCTTAGATTTTAAGAACGGTAAACTCAGCAAGCACTTTTAAATCTTAAACTGAAGAGTGAAGAACATAGAAAAAATTAGTTTGGGGTACAACATTTTTGTCGTCCCCCCCCTTGGAGTTAAAAGGGGGTGGGGGGCAATTTTACGCGCACCTCTTGATTTATTTCTGTATACGGCACGCCCTTGACCTGAACCTATTAATCCTCTGTCTCAATACTAACTGCGGATCAATTCTTCTAATCTTTATCTTACTCGACAATTTTTTAGTAGAAAACAAGGTGATAAAAGAGAGATAACAAAAATACTCTTTATGCGTATTTTCAAAAAAAAATATTTTATTTGTTTGTGTTCTTAATATGTTGATAACATGTTTTCAATTTATGCTGAAGTATACTTAATATTTTTTTATTATTATTTCTTGAATGGACGTGAATTGGTACATTTCTTAGAACTATACATCAGAAACATACATTTAATATCGAAACCATTATGAAAAACATGTCGGAATAAAAGAAAAAGTTGATATATACCCACTCATATTTCATTCAACTATATAATAGTTGTTTTGAATATATATTTGACGTCAGTTGAGAATTGTTTTTTCTATCTTCTTGGATAGGTAATTGTCAATAGTTATTATTTATATATTGAAAGCCATGCAGAGATGTAGAATATAAAAGGTTTGCGTAATTTATTTTTTAACAGAAATTTTTTTAAAAACTTGTTATGCCATTGAAAACACTTTTATCTATTCCTATCATTCTGTCATTGATTCTAACTTTTTGATTAAAAATTCTGCCAACTTGGTATGATTAAATTTTGTTAAAAAATTCTAAAAGTGCGATACTACATTCTATCAGATGATTGAATGAAAATATTCGATATTTCTAACACCCGAATAGGATTTCTTCCAACATTTTCCAGATAAGAAAGACTGTATCCTCTGAATGTATTATGCACAAGTTACCAAACAAAACAAAAAAACTATTTTGTTTTTCTTTGTAACTGTGATTGAGCCAGGTTTAGCTTAAGTTCTGATTAGTCAACTAAAATCAGTAAAAGAAGAGAACATCAAGGTTTCAAGTTCATGGTCATATTTACACTTCAAATACCAGATACACAATGATTAGCAAGTTTGTTATGGTTATAAGTTATCCATACGCTCTAGGGTTATCTGTCTATATCTATTTATGGCACTGGGCTATCTAGTGTATATCTTTTTTGTCTTTCTATATAAAGTATTAGGGTTGTGCAATATTTATCTACACTAAGGTTGTCCAATGTCAATCTATCAATTAACGACACTAGGGTTGTCCTTTACATCTTTTCTACCAAACCATGGATGTTTAACATATATCTATCTGTCTTAGACACTTGACTGAAATAAAGCCTATCCATCTATAACACCAGGATTATCGTATGAATTTAATACATCTTTGAAACTAGGGTTGAATTTTTACGTTTTTCACAGAGGAGATAATGATAGCGCTGTTAACTCTAAACAAAAATGTAAAACCGCCATTTTGTTGTACTGTCACCGTATACTGCGGGCGTTTTTCAAGCATTTGTGATCTATAACCTTTGGAGCCCTGGACCTCCTTTTAGAAATAAGTTATTTTGAAAATTATTTTAACATTTAAATCTTAAATCAAATAAGGATTTTATTTTACCTTGACACATCAGAAAGTTTACTTAACAACTTTAAAAAGAACTTGTAACGGATTTTCCAGGGAATATACTGTATTGTTTTGATGTACTGTACATTATTTGTAAACATATAAGAAATGTATTGTATACTTTCAAACTTTGAACTCCTTTTCAGGCCGAAACGGGCTGAAAATATTTATTCCGAGGGAAATATTCTTTTCTGTTTGTTTATCTATCTATTTATTTATCGAGTATTGTTTGTTGTCACTATATTGCANACAGGTAGTGAAACTAGGCAGTAGAGGGGTAGTTGCTTGAAGCCTGGCAAACCAAAACTATTCTTATGTTAATAAAGCGGAAATAGAAACCGGTGCAATATATTTTCACTAGAGCATAGTAGATTTATGTCAGTAAACAATTCAGCGGAAGAAAATATTGAAATATGAATTTATTACCTAACTTAGGATTATTTTGTACATTGTACCCGGTTCGTTTTTCGTTTTTTTTCTACACCGTATAGAGGGAATAGAGAAGGTGAAGGGGAAGCTATAGAGCGTGAAAAGTTTGCTCTGACAACACCCTCTGACAGCTAAACCATGAAATAGATATTTTTATTCTCAGTTTTTTTTTCTTGGAAAAAATCCGGATGCAAAATTTTCGGTCATATAAAACGCCGTATCGTTTCATCCTTCAAAGTTTTAATAATTTTTTGTCCTCTTTTGGCTGTATACTACAGGGTGTCTGGCGAAACATGCCAGTAGCAAGACAACTTGAAAGTCGTCTTTGATCTTTGGTTCGATATCTCGTGTAATATTGAAAGCACAAAAAAAGGCAGACAACATTTTGGAAATCCCAGGACTTATGGTATTTTGTTATTATTATCTAGAATTTTCTAAAACTAGATTGCCAATTAAATGCAGGAAAATATCACAAATCAAAGACGACCTTCAAACGTCTTGATACTACCATGTTTAGTGGGACACCCTGTATATACCCAATGCACAATTTAACATGCACCCTGTATCCATAACCTGTACATATTTATCTTTATCATATGCTCTGTATTCTTAGCACATGTACAATACATCCTTAGCCTTACTGTCTACACTGAACACCCTGTAACTATACCATATACTCTATATTCTGTATCCATTGACCGAAAGCGGTCTGGGGGTTCCATGTCGGGTATCCTTTCAGATCTATCTATTATTATTATTACATAATTATTCCTCAGCATTTAAAGTCTCCGTTGAAAGTATACCCGTAACTTTATCATGTACCCTACATCCGCCTTTATCTTTAGCTTTAACTTTAATATTCGCCTTTCTTCCTGTATCTTATCATGTACCACTTGTTTTTTTATCTGTATCCTGTATCCAGTAGCGCAACTATGGGGGGGGGCCAACCCGAGTTTCATCAACCCCCTAGCATACTGCATATTTCGCCCCCTCTCCCCCCCTCCCCCTAACTTGACTCCAGCATGATCATGATCGTCGACCACCTTTTATCAAATGTTGTCAATTAAGAAAAGAATACCAATTTTTCTTTGGCTCTTTGCGCATCATTTCTAATAGAATTTCTGACTATTTTCTCGTTTCGACTTAAAGAAAGAGTCATTCTTAATTTATCCTCGCAAAAAAACTTGTATATATATCATTTAAGGTTACACAAAAACTGACAACCTAAGAAGAATCATAAGAAATTTAATAAGGATTATATCGGACTATTAGTACTTTTGCAGACTATAAGAGGAAAACTGGCAAACAAGGACAGAGGGACTTCGATCAGAAAAACTATTATGGATTATGGACAGACGAAATATAGTCAAGTACTGCCAGGAACAGCTTACTACATAGGACTGCACAGACCTGCGATTAAAGGACTTATTGTCGATAAATATGACTAGCGGATGAATTACAAAACTGGTGTAGACTGTAATAGGGGACTTTATATAAATAGTCAATATGACTCTAAGCCAGTGGCTAACAGACACTAAAAAATACATGAAAAGACACTAAAAGAATATAATTTTTTGGCGCTTCTTTCACATGTCATTCATTTACAACCTGTTGGAAGTATATTTTTGTTAACATAAAAACAATCCATGGATATTATAAGAATTTGGTATTATTAACCACTGACCCAACCCTTCAACAATTAAAAAATGCTGTTTTTTTTACTTCAAATCCTGTACATTTTTTCGACAGTGGGTAACCCCCCAGTGTACCCACACCCCAGTGCCTTAAAATCAAGTTTCATCCCACCCCCCTCTCACAAAAGTGCTAGTTGCGCCACTGCCTGTATCCTTACCATGTCCTGATTATATTGGATCCTGTAGTTCTTATGTCTCGTGTATTCACTATCCAGTCTTCAAAGATACCTCATAACCTTCATTAGGAAATATGATGTACAATATTATTTCAAGATTATTTTTCTTTTATTAGGCTACAAGAGATATAACGTCAATTAGACATAGACTTACTAATCATTAAAGGGACTGTACGCGTAATTACAAGTGACCACTCCATGCAAAGATGGTAATGCCCGATCAACTACGATACCGTTAAAAGCTATGCTGATCAAATATGATTTAGACATCCAAGTTTCAATTGTGGTTTCTCTATAAAATTGACTTGCGCAATGCGCATTGCTACTCACTTCTAACCCTATAAAAAGACAATATCCTCCACATTATGGATCCATGGGTGGCCAAAATGTACGGATTGTACGGATTTTTATTTTTACCAAAAAAATTGTACGGAATGTACGGATAATGTCTCAAATTGTACAGCATTTTTTTCGACTCTGACTCAACATAAGCTAATTTTTTTCATGAAAATTGTGCATGAAAATTTTCTTTAAAAAAAGTCTCGTCAAAATGAAGTTCAGCTTATTATCTTCATTTCTAATTATATTGATTGTTGTTTCAATTGACAATTAAAATTCATTTTTACATCTTGTCGGGTATATGCTCTAGAAGTGTTCATTCGAGAATATTTTCCAGAAATATATGACGTCCCACAAAAAAAACTTTGGTACTGAGGGGAAAATTTTAGTTTAATTTTCACAATCAAGGTGTCATTGAAACGCTAAAAATTTCAGTGATTTCCAGGTGTAAATTTTTTCTTTCTATGTCTCATACTTTTTTGTTACCGGGCTACTTTGTAATTTATTTTTTACCAGATTTAGATCAAATATTTTTGATGAAAACGCGAGCTGTGGAATGTACTAATTGATAAAAAGTAGCTAATTTTTTCGGCTGGGCAATGTTCACGTGAAATATGTCAGTAGCATAGCTTTCCTTTATTTATTTTTATAAAGCCAATTTTATTATATCTTGATATATCTGAAATTAATAAATTACCCCAAAAAAAGTACAGAGAGTCGGGACTTTAAAAAGTTAAAACCAACCAATGCTGGTTTTCTTGTTATGTTATACACGTCCCAATAAACATGGGAATTAAGAAGTCGTCATCATTTACGTGTACATGCTTTAAGCTTTCAGAAATGTGGTCTGTCTTTTTTAAATCTTTACACAATTGAAAATCAAAGACTTGCTTAAAGTTGTCACTCAATTCCCATGTTTATTGGAAACAACCCGTAGACTGTTGATTGTTGATAAAATGCTAAAGATTTCACAAAAGTCATCAACTTTAAATCTTAAAACATTTTAAGGTCAAGGATTACTTAATTATTAATAAATGCATAAGGCTATTCATTATTGCTAAATAAAATTATGCTTACAGTCCCTTTAAGGAAAACTATAGTGAACTTGATTACACGGGAATGAATCATTTAAATGTTATGATTGTTTTTTTTGTGGTCAAAGTGGATTTTCGTTTACAAATCTTAGGGAGGGGGGGGGGGGGTTGATTGGTCTACTTCATTGACTTGATAAGAACTAAGTGACAGTATTAAGACTGCAGTTTACACTGAGCTGAGCTTCAGAACTGATTATAAAAAAGACTTGTAAGAAGTGGTAGATACAATACAAGACCATATTCTAGTGAGAGAGTAGGGCTGGGTTTGGGTTTTGTTTTAAAACGATCTAACCCCTTGGAGGTTTATGTAAATGTTCTATGCTTGAATGTACATTGTACACTACACATGTACACACTGAACAGGGTGTAAATCCACTTATCCCACTAGAAACTAAAAATGGTTGTTAATTAGATGATTATAGAATGGTTCAAGTTAGGTCAAGTGACAAGTTTTGTTAAGAACTGAAAAAACAAAATGAATGTTAGCAAGGATGGGGAAGAATAAAAACAAAGGTAAGGATGCAAGATCTAAAACTTGAGAAAGAGGGATGTCATGTTTTAGTTAGATTCAGGGCGAGAAAGATTAATTTTATTATTTTTAATTTTTCTTGATAAAGTGTAAAAACTAAGCGGAGAAACCACAGACTGATAACATAGATTTGATAATATAGTAATAATGGATTTTAATAAAAATCTGTTTGTAAAAATTAATAAATGTAGTAAGGAATTTTGTTCGATTTCTATTTTTTAGAGCATAATAATAAAAGTGTTCAGACGTTTTCAGTTGTTTTTGAGTCGAAACGAACTTTTAAAGGGGTTGACCGCGTAGACATGGCAGTTGAGCTGAGTGTGCAGTATATTTTAGGATTTATTTGAGACTTATTAGACGTTTTTACGGTGTAAAATTGTTCCGCAAGAGCGAACGTTCGATCTTTAAAATCCTTTTTGGCGACTGCCTGCCCTGCTTTAAGTTTGACTGGCATGCAAAATAAGTAGGAGAGCCAGAAAAAGGCATATTGCACGGAAGCAGTAAAATGACACTTGATAAAATTCACTTCGAGATTTTATTGGATCGCTTTAAAACTCATCATTTTATTGTAGTTAATTCTTTCATTTTTTACCACCCATCAAATCTTATCAAACCTTTACTTTAAAATAGAGTTCTATAGCTTAATTCATGAACACTCGTGCCTTGTACAATGTATAAGCTTTTATTATAAAAATAAAATAGCACAGGAAAATCATGCAAAATGGTACTTTTATTATATTTTACTGCTGGCCATTAAAGATCTAATTTACTCATTATAAATACTTAGGTTAAGCTCTTGATAAAACTAGAAATAGGGGAAGGCTGAAGACGCTGAGGCTGGCGGGAGGGGGGGGGGCACATGAAGAAAAAACAAGGGTGAATTTTTTTGGACGACAAAAAGAGAATGCTTATTGTCTAAACAAACAATCAGTAATTTTAAAACAACATTATGAAGATTAAATTTAAACGATATAAAAAACTAAACAGCATATTGTTTAGAGCTGCAGCGAGATATATTGGCCAATAATCAACAGTACAACAACAGATTTAACTATGCAGTAAGTTACTTATATTTTAATTAAATTGTTAAACTTTTTTCATAGAGACATGATTTTTTTTTCAGAACAATTTCATCAAAACATCTAAATACTCTCTGCTCACCTTCATTCCCTTCAACTTGTTCGAGCAGTTCCAAAGAGCTGCCAACTTCTACTTTCTGTGCCTCTTTATTCTTCAGGTATATATGTACAATTGTACTACTTGTATATGCACATTGTACCACTAGTGCATGTACAATTTAGTACAAGGAATACGCTTATGTATATGATATGTATAACAGTCTGTAGCAGGTATACATGTACAGTGCACACTGTTCACCAAGTGTTATATTAACTGTTAACTGTTCTACATGTACCAGGTAAATGTGAACAGAGTGAATGCGCTAGTTGTATATGTACAATGTACATGGTACAGTATGTTTTAAATATACACTATATAACCCCCTGAACCCCCTCACTTAATTGAACTCGTTGGTCTTGACCTCTTTAACCTTTTTTACCTACTTGACACCCTAAACCTCCTTGAACTTTTTTTTTGTTTTGTTTTGTTTTTTTGTTTTTTTGTTTAACCCTTCTATCTCATTATTATCTCGACCTTCTTGACTTCCATGATCTTCTTGACCCTCTCTACCTCCTTGACCTTCTTGACCTCTTTGACCTGTTTTGTCTAGTTGATCCCTGCTTTCATATCATTATTTCGACCTTCTTGACTTCCTTGATCTTCTTGACACCCTCTGCCTTCTTGACCTGTTTAACCTCTTTGACCTCTTCGACCTGTCTTGTCGAGTTGATCCTTGCTATCTCATTATTATTTCGACCTTTTTAACCTCCTTGATCTTCTTGACCCCCTTTACCTTCTTGACCTGTTTGACCTCCTTGACCTTTTCGACCTTCTTGACCTCTTTGACCTGTTTTTCTAGTTGATCCCTGCTTTCACATTATTATCTCAACCTTCTTGACCTCCTTGATCTTCTTCACCACCTTCACTTCCTCCTTGACCAGTTTGACCTGCTTTATCTAGTTGATCCCTGCTATCTCCTCCCTGACTCCTGTCACCACTCTCGTCCCACTAGTTCTTGTACTCTCCCTCACAGCTCTCAAGGATGCATACGATGATATTGTAAGTATAACAAACTTAATCTTATACTCACAAATTTTTTCCGGATTAATTTGGTTCCCTTAAGACCTTGAGGAACTCCTTCTGAAGCTGTTGAATATGATAACTAAACAAAAACTTGTAAAATTGAACTGAACTGAACGTTTATTAGCCGAATTAAGAACAGTCTGTACTTGTCTAATCTAGATGCTACATAGAGCTAGGTGTGACATGATGAAAAAAGTTAAATTGCATATGGAATAATCATCCAGTAAATTTTTTTAGCAAATCACATCTATCTCTTTAGTTTTCATTTTTTAGCATTTTTAACAGCTTTCGAAAAACTTCTTTTTAAGGCCTTCACGGAACCAAATTGATTCAGAAAATGGAAAAAAATACTTAACTTCTAAGAAGCCATCGCAGACGAATTCTGGGGAAAAAATTAGACTGATAGAAAAATCATTGTTGACATTTATTGGTTTGGGGATAAAAAATACTAATTTCTGGCGACCAGTCAATTAAGTCTATGGTTCAAAATTTTTAATTCATTGTAATTTTAACCCTAATTGAATTTTCAAAACACGAATTTTTCTTCGTTCAACATTCTTATGGAATTTGAAGTAAAGCTCACCGAACAAAATCATCAGATTGAATTAACTGTGAAATCGAGGAAATATTCAATCATTTCCAATTCCATTAAGTTTATATTTGAAAATTGAATAATTTAAAGGATTCTAGCCAATTAATATTCGCATTCGGAAAATGTGGCGCCGATTTAAGTAAAAAATTTTGTTTGCACAAATTTTGTTACAATTTACTTATTTCGAATCTTTTTTATATTCAGTTTTTCTTCCGGTTTACATTATAAACCACAATAATTAGAAAATCATATATAAAACAATATCATTTTTAATTTATAAAACAGTATGATTTTATATACACGTCTGTAATTAAAATCTAAATTAAAATCGAAACCTAAATTTTAACTCAACTTTCATAAAAAAAATTAGTTTAAAATATTTAATAATCGGAAAGGAGCGCCGACCCCTACTTCATCAAATGACAGGTTGTCTGTTAGTAAAAGTATTAAAAAACCATTTACGTTACGCAAACTTTTTAATTCTAAGAAAGTCCTCGTGTCATAAATCCTCATGTCATTTTTATGAAGAAACCAAAATCTAAAATGATCAATTTTCAAATAGAAAAACATGAAAATATCGTTTTTCCACTTATGCCGTTCTATAAATGAAGGGTCACTTAAAATTATATTTCTATTTTCAGCAACGGCATCGAACTGACCGTCAGGTTAACAACCGGAAGTCCCAGGTACTCCGGAAGGGATACCTGGTGGAGGAGAAGTGGCATAGGGTCCAGGTAAACAGTCTAAATACCACATTTTTACTCATATCTATGTATGTCTTGTCTGTTTATGGTTAATTGCTTGTTTGTTTGGCTGGTATCTAATACTAAGCGTCAGAACGACTGACTTGATGAGGCCCAAGTTCTTGAAAAAGATGAAACATTTTGTGTGCAAGGATAAACCTTAGCAATTGTGAAGTACAAGAATCTACATACCCCACCCACGTACAAGAGTATATATTAACTTGTCATGTTCATTAATACACTTCAAGTTGTCATGTACAAGAGTAACAATCTACATTAATTTAAGATTGAACAAGAATCGATATAAGTATCAATCATTTACAAGAATTTAAACAAAACTTGTCATGCACATTTATTTGCTTCAACTTGTCATGTACATTTATTTGCTTCAACTTGTCATGTACATTTATTTGCTTCAACTTGTCATGTACATTTATTCACTTCAACTTGTCATGTACATTTATTCACTTCAACTTGTCATGTACAATTATTAACTTCAACTTGTCATGCAGATTTTTTCACTTTAACTTTTCATGTGCATTTATTCACTTCAACTTGTCATGTACAATTATTCACTTAAACTTGTCATGTACATTTATTCACTTCAACTTGTCATATACATTTATTCACTTCAACTTGTCATGTACAAGAGTCTCCATAAGTTTACTTTGTACGAGATTCTACATAAACTTCTCATGTAAAGTAAGTCAGTCTAAGTAAGTTAACTATGTAAAAAATTCTAAAAAAACTTTTCATGGTCAAGAGTTTAAATAAGTTTATCATGTACAAAGAATCTCGAAACTCATCTATATATATACTTTTCTTGTCTGTCTGTCTGTCCGTTTGCATCCAATAAACGTCAAAACGGCAGAACCGATCGGGCCCAAATTTTGTGCGAGACCTCACATGACTCCAGCAAGGGTTTATCTGAGGCTCAAAATAACAAATCTGTGTCCTAAAGTTTTTGAGTTCTGTAAAATTTTGAAAATGCGTGACCTACTCTTGTTTTTCTTTTTTATTGTTTAGATGCTTGCAGATAGAGCCACAATTAAAAGTTTAAAAATAAAATATGTGCGAGAAAGCGCTCTGAAAGCCTAGTCATGCTTATCTTGTCATTTATACAAAGTATATTGTATATGGATTGGATTCAAATAAAAGAAATAAACAAGTGTACTAAATATATTTTGATTACAGGTCGGAGATGTTATTCGGATGGAGAACAATAGTTTTATAGCAGCAGATATTCTACTCCTCTCATCTCATAATTCTAATGGACTTTGCTAAATGTTTCAATTTACCCTTTCTCTGAACAGAATAGAGGGAGAGGGGTGATGCAAGACTGTTAGACTTTTTATTGCGTTTTTATTAGAAGGTTATGCGGGATTCAGGTCACAATTTTCCGTGCTTTCTATTACTTTTTTATAATTGAGTAAACGTTTACTTTGTGTGAAGAATGTTCATTACGTTTATTATTTTTGTTTGCCCTTTCCCTTTGATATATGTGATATTTACTTCAAGGGTTATCCATGTAAGGCAGTTATTCAGTTTTCAAGGCCACTCCAGGAAAATAAGTTTTTTATAGAAATCCTCCCCCTCGTCATATATTGTCGTCAACCAGGAGGAAAACATTTTTTATGCGGGTAAAATTTTGAACACTGCTTTGGCTTAATAGTTTTTATGTTAAAATTCCACGAGTCCCCTTAAAAATCAAATGAAGTGCATGGGGAAAGTGAGGGGGGAAAGGCCTTGTTTATTGTTATGAGGATGAGCAGTAGGGTTGTAAATTGCTTGACAAAAACAATATTTCAATATTTTCTTTCACACCTGACATATTTTTTATTGCTGAAAGGCCTTCATTTTCTATGCCAGTATAAAATAAGAAAGAAATCCTTTTTATTTTTACTTCTTGTAAAACAAAAATGCTAAATCACAATTTTTAAAATTAACAAATGGATATTCAGAATGTTTTTATTTTTACTTCTTGTAAAACAAAAATGATAAATCACAATTTTTAAAATTAACAAATGGATATTCAGAATGTTTTTATTTTTACTTCTTGTAAAACAAAAATGATAAATCACAATTTTTACAATGAACAAATTGATATACAGAATGTTTTTATTTACCGCTCAATTAAGTACAGATATTCACTGAACAAATTCAAGTTCGCTGGTTTAAAACCTTCTTTAAAGCTTTTCAATTAAAGTGTATACATATCAAATATCTATTCTATCTATTTAGAAATTTATAGTGTCTGTCTGTTTGTTTCTATCCAATAAACGTCAAAATGGCTGAAGCGACCGGACCTAACGTGACCCCAGGGAAGGCTTATGAATGATCAAAATTTAAAAATTTGTGTTTTAAAAGTTTTTTATTTTTGTAAAATTTTGAAAATGCGCGAAAAAAAATATTATGAAGTCCGCAAACTTTTTTTTGTTTTTGTTTTTGTTTTATACTGTACAAAGAGAAGATGCTCACAGATAAAGCCACAATTAAAAGTTGAAATAGAAGATGGGCGCAAAAGCCTAGTATGACCAAACAAGACATTCATATATATGTTCTCTAAATCCGGCCAAACGGCTGGACCGAATGGGCTTACATTTTTGTTTTCACTCATGGGTAGCCTGGGGTGACAAATGCTTTAAAAAAAATATTTTTTCCAAATTTTTTTCATGGGTAACGCCGAGCCCATCAGCTAGTATGATATATATTCTATGAAATAAAACAAGACATTCATATTTATGTTCCCTAAAACCAGTCAAACGGCTGGACCCAGTGGGCTGAATTTTTTGGTGGACACTCATGGGTAGCCTGGGGGTGACATAGGCTTAAAAAAAGTCAAACATTTTTAATGTTTTTACAATTTTTTTGATTTGTTTTTAAGGTTTTTTTTCGTCACAAAAATATAAAAATATAAACACTCTGACGGTGATATTAGTATCGGAAAATTGATAATTTTCTGACAAGTAAGTTATTAAGAGCTCATTATTCTGTTTACAGTTCGTTATTAAATATTGTACATCGTATAAACACTTTGAACACAAAATTTTCGGTAATTTTAAAACGTTTCTTATCATTATATTCTTAATTTGCATGCCATAGAACTTGAAAAATAACTTGATATGATAAGCTTAAAAAATATTCAGATACACCTAAATATATACTAACTAGCCCTAGAGGGCGCTTCGTGCCCATCTTCTAAATTAATTGTGAACATGATCTCTTTGTGTACATCGTAAAACAAAACAAAAATAATTCGCGGATTTTCACAAAAAATTTCGTGGATTTTCAAAATTTTCAAAAATTTAATGAAGATCGAATTTTGATGGAGACAAATATTTGAAATTTTGATCATTCATAAACCTTCCCTGTGGTCCCTAGATGTCCCACAAAAAATTTGGGCCCGATCGGTTCAGCCGTTTTGACGTTTATTGGATACAAACAGACAGACAGATAAACAAACAAACAAACAGACAGACAAGTCAAATTTATATATAGATTGGTGGGAGAAAGAAGGTTTGAGGTTTAAATGCAGAATTCAATACAATGGTGGGAGAAAAAAGGTTTGGGGTTTAAATGCAGAATTTAATACAGAAGGTTTGGGGTTTTACTGCAGAATTTAATGTATTGGTGGGAGAAAGAATGTTTGGGTGTTAAATGCAGGATTTAATACATTGGTTGGAGAAAGAAGGTTTGGGGTTTAAATGCAGAATTTAATACATTGGTGGGAGAAAGAAGGTTTGGGGTTTAAATGCAGAATTTAATACATTGGTGGGAGAAAGAAGGTTTGGGGTTTAAATGCAGGATTTAATACATTGGTGGGAGAAAGAAGGTTTGGGGTTTAAATGCAGAATTTAATAAATTGGTGGGGGAAAGAAGGTTTGGGGTAAATCGTCTGCAATGTGTTTTTACTTAGTGAGACGAACCTGAAGGTAAAGCAGTGCCTGGACGTGACGAACTCTATGGGAGAGGACGAGTCTTCATTGTCCCAGTTCTCCGGACATATAATCTGCGAAGCGCCTAACAACAATTTAGGTATTTTATCGGGATACATGAATATTTTACGGAATATTTGTCATCTTCCTTCTTTCTATTCAGTAAAAATGCCGTTTTGTACATTGTAAATTGTGGCAAGGGACAGCCAAGTTTTTGAGATAAAAGTCATGAATTACATTTAATCTCCTGATTGGAAGGAATGCAGTAAATGACCCAATTCCAAGAATAGATATTCTTGCAGATCGTATCATAAAATTGTCCATTCGTGTATTGCATCATTAGCAAACATTATATCTAATAATACTTATCCTGCATCGTAAACCAAGAGGGCAGTCACTGGTTGGAGTCAATTATAAAAGCGACTGTGCTTTAGACTCTAGCTAGTGGCTGATATTGGGAATCTGGCACAATGTCGGATGTCCGCTTTATCTTCTTAACACGAATTTTATCCTTAACTATCAACCGGTTTAAAAGGACACAAAAATCCAGGAAAAGTATAAAAACCAAAAACAAATATAGAATCATACTGTCTACAAGCTATAAGACCTTTCTCCAGACATGACTTAGTATTATTCATTTCAAGTTTGGTGAATGGAAGAGTCTGATTTGATTTGATGTCAGCTGAATTTCTAGTTTAAAAGAAAGAACGAATACTATATTTATTTCGCTTTATGTTTGATTTATCAATTTATCATTTATCAATAAAAAGGGAAACTCGTTCAATTATAAACAACTTATAAACTTATTTTTTACGACAAATGTTCAAGGGTTATAAAACTACTGATCTTATTAGAGGTTGAAATATGATAGTTTCAGATCTTATTTTATTTTTATATTTGTATCAACCATCTTCATGTCAATTATTCTAAAAAATATTTTTATGTTGGTTTAAACTTTTAAAACTTACTTAAAAAAGTTTTAAATTAAATATTTTGAGGATCTCTGTAAGCAGTTCATTTCAGCGAAGTTTGAGGGAACCCTGACCTGGAACCACATGAAATACTCCCTGGACAATGAGAAGATCCTGCTGAGAGGCGCCGTGTTGAGGAACACTCCCTGGTGCTACGGTCTCGTTCTCTTTGCTGGGAAGGATACCAAGCTCATGCAAAACTCCGGGAAAACAAAGTTTAAAAGAACGTCAATAGATCGTCTTTTAAACTTTATCATTCTGGTAAGATTTTAGAGTTTGAAGGATTCTTTAGGGGCGGGAGGAGGATCCTTGAAAAATGTTTTTCATACCTAGAATGAATCAAAAATTGAAATTCATCGAATGCAAGGATAATGTTAGAAAAGGTTATGATTCGTGGAAAAAATGCTGTTTTGAGGGAAAACAAGAATGTTGTCGAAGGGAAAGTTCATAAATTTTGAATGTGGATTAGGACCGAATCATATTTAAAGGAGGGATTAATCGAACCAACAAAAAATCTGAAGAAATCCAGGCTGTGCTGATTCGCCGTTTTTACGGCGCCTGATCATCAAAAGTAGGGAACTGGGTATCTTCAGGGTCGTTATTAGTGTAATTTTGAGCCGTATAAAACTTAGTCTTTAGATTTGCTGTGTATAGTGAAGTAATTTTTCATCTAACATGGGATTAAAGTCAAACCCATAGTCCAGTTAAAGTTTGTTCTATACCCTCTTTTTAACAAGAGGAACACACTCCCCTTAAGGTGGGTTTTACTGGGTTAGTTATAAAATAACGCTTTCTAAGAAAAGAAGAAAGTAAATAGTTGCAAAATCAAAGTTTTGTATTTTTCTGAACATCATAGAGCGAAAGGGGGAAAACAGAAAGGAAAGGGAATGAACGGCCGGTTAGTATTTAAATGCCAAACAAAGGATTTTCACGCGGATTTAACGCTGAGTTTAATGCTTTGTACGTAGAAACTGAAAGGATGAAACTGTAAAGACGACTTGAAACTCTGCAATTATTACGATTCCAGGCTTAAATTAAGTCTTCTGCAGTAAAAAAAAAACTCTTCTATTGGTTTAGATTTGGCATTCATGAATATAAGGAAAAAGCCAGTATAAATTCCGTACAGTCGTCTCATGAAGTTTAACCTTTTTGGGTAACCCTGTACTATACTAGCTGTTTGTTCAGGATATAGTTCTGTTTCTGTTGTGCATGTGCCTATTCTGCACAATATCTTATGAGAGACATGGATTAGAATATATTTTAAATATCTCTTTGTTCGGGGTATAGTTCTGTTTCTGTTGTGCATGTGCCTATTCTGCACAATATCATGTGAGAGACATGGATTAGAATATATTATAAATATCTGTTCAGGGCATAGTTCTGTTTCTGTTGTGCATGTGCCTATTCTGCACAATATCATGTGGGTTCTGGGAAACATGGATTGGATTATATTTCCAGAAATATTTGCCATGGGATAATGTGGTCCCGAAAGTAAGTACAATAATTTTTTAAGCTATTTCATTCAGTTAATTCTTCTTTTTTTTAAAGAATGATCAAAGGTACTACAGTGATAACCAGACAACTCTGAAATAGGAAGACTACTTTTAGAATCAAGTTATAACTTTAAAAATTCCAATGGCAATTGTGCAGTGTAAACAGACCCATTTAACTGAACTAGTGATTTAATAAGTGTTGGTAAAACTAGTAGCTTTGTAACAACCTCAAATACACTTAAGTATTGCTTTAATGTCGTCTTCCTAATACGTTGTTTTCTGGTTATCACTGTATGCTAACAATTATTTAAATGTTCCAAAGAATTGGAAATTCATGAAAGGATTCGTTTATTTTCACCCCAGCCTTCTTTCTTTGTAATTAATTTATATAATTATTCAATATTGTTGTAAAACATATTTTACTGTGGTTTTATGACGTCAATATGTTTCCATGATTATAGCTGTATTGGGACAGGGTGCTGGCTGATACGTTCAATCATTTTACCCCAAAACTACTAGAAAATTGATCAATTTTTTGACAGTTGCCCGAATGTCCGGAAATAAAAATAGGATGTTCGATTTTAGTAGGTATATGGGGTTAAAAAAAAAATTAAATACTTTTCAGCCCCTTCCCCTTTTCCCCCCTGCGTCTGAGAATATTAGACTCTTGTACACTGTAAAAAAAAATAAAGTGAGGGAAGGTTCGTAGAAATGTCTAATTACTACTTCTAACTAAGGTTTCCTGCTACTCATTAACCAAAATAATAAAAATAAATACAGGGTAGCGTAGAGATGTAAATATTTAAGTTTTACTTAGACGCGATCTATTAGGGAGCGGCCAAACTCTGTTACCCGCGAATGCAGCAATGAATTAGAAGAAGAGAGATATTAGTATATATTTTAGGAACTAGGTTATATAAAGACAATTTCTGGGCCGCGCGCTGCGGCTAGGATAGGCAAGGGAGCCAAGCGCCGCGGCTAGGACAGGCTAGGGGGCCGAGCGCCGCGGCTAGAACTGATTTTCTCTCTGTTTTGTAATTCATTGTGGCATTGGCGAGTAACGGAGTTTGGCCGCTGCCCATCTATTAAGGTCAGGCCGGGCTCATCAACTTTCTACCTCGAATTTATTTAGTAACAAAGAAATAAATGTTTAATAGTCTTTTTGAATTTGAAGTGTGGGAGTAGGACATCCCTAGAAGTCTGATTTGATTTGATTTAATCTACTCCTGTTCTTTATTCTACTCCTGTTCTTTATTCTACTCATGTTCTCTAATATACTCCTGTTCACTAATCTGCTCCTGTTCTTTAATCTACTCCTGTTCTCTAATCTACTCATGTTCTCTAAACTACCCAGCTGTTCTTCAATCTACTCCTGTTCTCTTAAAATCTCCTATATAGGATCCTACCCTGGGAGCAGCGGTGATATCTCTTCTTGTATTCTTCTCCTACGCTATAGTTCTAAACACTGTTGTACCTATCTCCCTCTACGTCAGTGTCGAGGTAAACTATTGAATTAACAGCGCACCATTTTACAGAGTAATTCAACGATAAGCGCGGAATTGTAAATGTAAAAACAGATACTTGACATTGGGCGAATAAATTGAAAAAAGTGGTATTTCTGTTAAATAAACCGTAGATGTAATTTCAAGTGACCCTTCATTTTAAGATTGACATGTCAGATTTAAAGTGGAACCCTCTTTCTGATTACAATTGAGGAAGATTTAGTTTTCCTGAAATCTGAGATTGAAGGATTAACAGTGATTATTATTATTAATATTATTATTATATTAAAATATGATAATTTCTTACAAATTCCTTCATGAACACTAGCGCTAGTCTTTTATTTTGGGGGAAAAAATAATTTTTTTAGAAAAAAAGGCTGGATATCTGTCATTCTTAGTGTCACTTTAAATGAAGTCTAATAGTCGGCTTAAATTTGAGACGTGGCTCAAATATGTTTGGTTCCACTTAAAATTGTATTCATTGTTTCGAGATTTAAGCCAGCGCTCGATTTAAACCGGTTTTTTGCGAATTTGAGACGCGGGTCAAGTTCATTAAATTCTGTCCCAGGCGGTATTATTCTGTTCTATGTAAAAATTACTGGGACTGTAAACGTATTTTTTTCCCTATATAACCCTCTATTGAATGAGTTCCATGTACGATTCACAACGTGCCTTTAAAATCTTTGTTTGATCAAGTATTAACATAATAAGATATCCATGTTTTTTTTATTTTTTGAAAACTGATTAATTTCATTTGTGGTTTCTCTACAAAAGTGGCTTGCGCACTTTTTTGCTTCGGAAACAATGGAGCTTAGCACAGAAGAATAACTTTTCAAGCATGAAGAATGACGTCATCTTTCACATTATTGATCAGACTAAGGTTTCAAGGGCTGGGATTCGGCCATGCCGCTCGTTAAATAATTTCTAAAATAAATTCTATTATTACCACTAATAGATTAGTTTTTATCATGTTTGTCCAATACATGTTTTCTCCTATAATTTATTTATTTATTCATTTATTTTTATTTATAGAAATAGAAAGAAATCAAGTAATTCTTCTATTTTTAGGTGATCCGATTATTTCTCTCTAAATTAATTGATTGGGACAAAGAAATGTATTATGAAAAGTAAGTAATTAATAATATTTGGTGTCAATATATTAACGTTAATGTAATGGTTTAGTTTGGTTAATAGATTAGGTGTCTTGAACGTCTTGGTGTCATGTAAATATTTGATACGTGTTACTTTCTTTTATGACTTAGTGCCTTTAAGTCACAATAAATAGGTAATAAATTTATTTCTTTTGCATTCAAAAGATATTTATAATTTTTATCACCAAAATTACTAGATTGTTTTTGTTTGAAGCCAAAAGTGTTTTGATCTAAATTTCAATTTTATATTCTCATGATTCATGTGTTTTTATGGAAGGGTTGAAAATTTCATTTATTTCTAACTTAATTTATTGCTAGGACGCGTACACATGCCAAATCTCGGACCACCACCTTAAACGAGGAGTTGGGTCAAATACAGTACATATTCAGGCAAGCTTATTTTAATACAGGGTGTCACACATCATGTTGGACCGTATATTGGCCATTGGGACTTGAAATAAAAATGATTGAATTTTTTAGATAACTTTAAAATTGTATGAAACCTTTTAAAAAGACACTCAAAAATTTACACTACACATGTTTTTTTTAGTTTCTTTTAAAAATAATTCAAGAATGTATGTATGTACATACTTGAATGTATATGTCCATATTGTCCCAACAATACATATTTAGAATATTTTTGGCAATTAAGAGTAAATATTAAATTCGTCTTCGATCCTTGAATAACAAAGTAAAAATAAGCCTTTTTATCTCTTCTTGGAACCATTCCCTGGAAATTCATTTTAACAAAAACCATTGCAGTATGTTTACGACTGTACACTTGAATAGGATATTTTTAAGGAATTTTTTATCTTTGTTTAGTGACAAGACGGGTACGTTGACACAGAACATCATGACCTTCAACAAGTGTTCCATCAATAGTAAAGTATACGGAGACATCCTTGATGAGAAGACGGGAGAACCTGTTGATGTTGATGAGGTAGGTTTATTTCGTCCAAGTTCACACTAAAAAATTAAAACTGAAAATTTCGAAACTGTCTGAGAAATAATTCTGCCAATTTTACCATTTTCCTCAGTGTCACTCTGTAACTATCCGGACCTAACATTTTAAAGTTTATTTGTTTTAATTTCAAGAAATCCTCCATTTAAAAAAAGCATGTCCGATTCATAACAGTGCTCTTTATAATGCTCAATAATATGAAGAAATTGTCGTTTTTCTAGCATAAAAGGTTTTTAATTCTGACATTTTCTTCAATTTGTGATTTTAAGATTTTTACTCCTACTACTTAAAACCCTTTTTTTAAATCTTACTCCAAATCTCTAGTGTCCAGTTCCTGGTTTTCTTTCTGTATTGATAAATCATTTATAATTTATCAAATTATTGCAAATTAAGTTAGAAAATGAAGAAAAATATATATCTAATGCTTTTGCAAAATGTCGGCAAACACAACCAAAATGTTAATATATTGTATTTATACATACTCTTGTATGATTCTGTACAACATGAATTTGATTGACAATTTAGGATTTTTATTTTAATTTAATATCCTTTTAGTACTCATTCCATGGACTAGTTCAATTAATGGTAAGAAACTCTGACACTTAATGAGATACTCACACATTTGTTTATGATCCCGTACAACTTAAAGGGATTGTTTTCGTATGAATCAGCATTGAACACGGAATCATTTTTACACTTCTTTTAATCTTCTGTCTCATTGATATCGCTTATATTTCCGAAATTGTAAAGGTTTTATTTTAATCTTAAATGAACTATTGTTACCTCAATCTTTAAAAAAGAAACAATCCCTTTAGTATAAGTTCATTCCGGCGTTATAGCACGTTTTTTTGTTCAATCTCACAAGATTTGCATCTTATATAGGTAGGGTTCTTTTCTTAGTTGAAAATTTATGAATAAGGTTCAATTTCAACCGGGGTTAACTGATCGTTTAAACTTTAGTATTATGCCAGTAATTAAATTTTTTGAGTTTTAACCCACTTTTGAGTTTCGTTGTGCGTTAAAACCCAATTAAATGTCAAGGATTAGTCAATTATGTAACCCATGAACTTTTTTAACTACCGCGTTACTTTCTTATTCATAAATTTCTATCACTGAATACACAAACATGACAATGTGTCACTTTTAATATCAAATTCAACCTTTGGAAAGAAAACTTGTTTAGATGAATTGTTTTTTGAATACAGAGATGATGGGCAACGGAGTTACATTCAGAAGAAAACTATTATTTAGAACTTTTAAAAGAAAGTTGAAGTAATTTTGCTTTGTCAATCTTGCCTTAGAAAACACCCTGTGTTATGTTGGATGTTTTTTAAATTAAAGTAAGTTCATTCAGATGGACCCTTCATAGATCAGAACTTTTGAAGAATATTTTCCATCTTCTTTGTTAAGTATTCAGTTTTTGTGTACAATATTCAAACTGCACTTCTACCCTTACACTCAGCAGAATCTTATTCTTTGTAGTTACACCCATCTAACCCCTGCTATTTCAGCACACCAAGAGGGTGGATTTCTCTCAGAACAGTTTTTATGAACCCAGTTTTCAGTTTTATGACTCCAGGTAACTTTCTGTAACATTTACACCAGAATTGTGTCAAAAACCAATGCTCATTTTTTGCTATTTATTTAAATTTAATGCTCATGATTCCTTTTTCTTAAAACCAATCACAAAAACTTTCAATTGAAATAGAACTAAAATCTCTAAATCGAGAGCACTCTTTTTCAGTACGAATGATGAATATGTAGTAAAAAGGGATTTATCTTTGTAAAACTTTAAAAAATTGTAATAATTTTCTCTCCAGCTTGCTTGAGGAGATAAAGGGTGGAAATCAAGAGTGCCAACTTTTCTTCCGAGTTTTAGCACTTTGTCACACAGTGATGCCTGATTATAGTTCAGGTAGGCTGATACAGATTAAAATATAAATTAAATTGTTGGCTTAAGCCTAACTTTGTTAGTCTCTACTTTCGAAATGATAAATATTTTAAGGCCTGAGTCTTATTTTAGTCTCTTATATTAGTCCCGAGAATAATTTTTCCAAAATTGATTAAATTGCGATCCTTGGAATCTATTTAAAGTGTGTTTTAAGGTGTTTTTTTAGCTAGTTTGTGATATATTTAAAAAGCCTAAAAGAATTGGAGAAGAACAACTCTTAATACGTCATATGTTATCAACTAATTAACAAGCGAACTACAGTTGACTATAGTACTGATGAGGGCATCATAGAATGTCGAAATATATTTAATAAAAAAGTAATCTCCATCGTTGATTTCTAATCTGGTTTGGTTCAACCTTCCAACAACTAATATTCTAACTGCAGAAGGACGACTGGAGTATCAAGCTCAAAGTCCGGACGAGAACGCTCTAGTGTCCGCAGCAAGAAATTTCGGGTTCGTCTTTACTGAGAGAACATCACGCACAATCACCATAAAGGTAGATTTTTAATAGCTAAAGCGGTCTAAATCTATGTATAGAACCGAAGAAAAAGACCGTAAAGGGATTGTAAGCGTAATTTCATAAGACCCACCATGCTAAGATGGCAATATCCGATTTAATACGATACCCTTGTCTGATAAAGTATACATTAGATATCAATATTTTTGTTTTTTTAACAGTTAATTGTAATTGACACTTGCGCATTTCGTGCGTATAAGTAACAACGGAGAAATTGTCAGAAATAAACCCTTTTAAATGCAGAAGACGACGCTTACTTTAATTCTTAAAACGGAAGTTAAATTCAAGTTTAATTGTTCATTGGCTGACTTTTAGGACCAGTTAAGTTTAGAAAATTTCTTCCTTCAATTTTAATGGATGATTATTTAAAGAAATGAAAAAGGGAGGGGAGGTGTTGAGCAACAAGAGAGAGGTTAAAAATGTTTTGTCGATTTTTAATAATTTATATAATTTATCATTTTAATGCCATTAAAGAAGGTAATAAAACGGTAATAAAACGACGATTAAAATAATATTTTATATAAACAAAAAGTAATTTGTTAAACGAAACTAAGGGGAAAACGTTTTGATAAAAATAAAATAAGAAAAAAATTTGATTCTTTGAGACAAGTTTTCGAAAGTAAAATGACATTAATTGAATTTTTAAATTAGTTGATAACTGGAAGTACATATTCCATTAAAAGTATTTTTGTTTGGAGAGCTTATTTTCTAAAAATAATAAGAAGGACTAGATCAGATTATCCTGAGGAAGTTTAGGATTGGTCAGGTTTTACAAGTATTAAGCAGTGCACTGCTGTTAGGATATTCAAGGGGGCCGAGCGCTGCGTCTAGAACATTTAAGGAAATTAGAAACTGTCCCACGGAAAATATATATATATCAGTTTTAAATGAAAACATTTAAATTTTTTTAATGAGTTTATGACCACGACTGTTTGCATAATATTCATTTTTATTCTTTAATTCACGGTTTTCTAACGCTATACAGTATACACACAATGCGTTAATATTTTCAAAATAATGTTTAGAACAGAAAACCGAGTTTGATCCTTTGATCCAATTATTGAAATAATTCTGCAGATCGTCATTAAGGTTTTTGTGTTTGTGAATACCCCTGTATCCAAATCATAATTTTAAAAAAAAGATTTACTTTTTTAATATTTAGGCGTTGGGTGAGACTGAAGTACACGAGCTCCTGTGTATCCTGGATTTTAACAATGTACGGAAAAGAATGTCTGTTATTCTTCGTCACGAGGGGAAAATACGACTGTACTGCAAGGAAACCCATGTTTACATTTTTAAAAAGAAAGTATGATACTTCTCTTTCCTTAAACACAATTTCCTGTTTCTTGAACACACTTTCCAGTTACGTGATCACATTTTCTTGTTCCTTGAACACATTTTCCTGTTCCTTGAACAAAATTTCCTGTTCCTTGAACACAATTTCCTATTTCTTGAACAAAATTTCCTGTTTCTTGATAACACATTTCCCTGTTTCTTAAACACATTTTCCTGTTCCTTGAACACAAATACCTGTTTCGTGATCACAAATACCTGTTTCGTGATCACATTTTCTTGTTCCTCGATAACACATTTTCCTGTTTCTTAAACACATTTTCCTGTATCTTGAACACATTTCCTGTTTCGTGATCACATTTTCTTGTTTCTTGATAATACATTTTCCTGTATCTTGAACACATTTCCAGTTTCTTAAACTTATTTACTGTTCCTTGAACACGCTTTCCTGTTCCTTAATTCACTTCCCTTTTCTTAAACACATTGTAAGTTTTATATAGATGTTATGTAAAGTATTATTATTTGCTCGATTTATTAGCTAACAGATAATTTTTATCCTTTTGAAAAGTGTATATTTACCGCGAGGTTTACAACTAACTTTTAACAAGAGAGTTTTAGATTTTGTTTGCAAAACTTAAACCTGGCATATGATAGGGTGCGGATAATGTTATCTTTGAGAGATTGAAACCTGGACAAGAGGGAATCATGGAGGAAACTCAGGATCATTTAAACGTAAGTTAGTCCGGGATTCAGGAGTTCACAAATCTTGAAAGGTTGGCTTTTTTAGATCGACAGATAAAATATTGTTTACTACATATTCAAATTATCTGGATTTCTAGGATTTCTTGGATTTCTTGGATTTCCAGGATTTCTTGGATTTCCCGGATTTCTAGGATTTCCTGGATTTAGGGATCCAAAATATTGCGGCTCCTACTGCTCCGAATCACAAAGATATAAGAAAACACTAGATGTGACAGTAGATGATAATTAAAATTAAAATATCCAAAAAAGACGAAGAAATGATGGTTTTCGGTCTGGAATAATATTTATCTTTTATCCATCCAGTTCAAGATTCAGCAGACTAAACTAATATTGCTGTTAAATAGATGTCCTTTTAAACTGATTATTTATCTGATCAAGCAGCATTTACGTCCTTGACATTTCTGTTTTTATAAAAAATCAAAACTTATTGAAAAAATTAGTGAGAAGGTTTAGTTAGTCACGAAATTATCAAATCATAAAAATAAATAAATTTATAGAAATGGCAACTAATAAGATAAAATAATTAGACCAGAGCTGGGAACTTTTGAATGGTGGATATCAGGATTAATGCTTGATCCACTCTTTTTCTTAATCTCCAGATTAAATAATGCTTGTTCTCCTCTTTATTTTAATCTTCAGATTAATTTACCGATCAGGATTAAGGATATCCCATTCTAAAGTTTTCAGCTCAGGATATATAAACCCAATTTCACAAAGAACATTTTCTAAAAATCAATCAAGAAAGACTAATAGGGAAAAATTCTTAGGCTATCAGACACATTATCATCTTGGCAATTTTGCCAAATACTTGATTGGGAACCCAGCTTTACATGGACACTAAACGTTCTCTTTGAACACCTTACTAAGAACATTCCCGTTGTTCTGCCAAGTTCTCAAATCAAAATTTGAGGCAAATCGGTCAAGAAGTTCCCGAGTTTTGATCGGACATACAAACAAACGGACAGGCAAAGAATACTACGTTATATAGATATGTAGCAATATTTTGATGTCAACATGTTGTAATGGTTAAACAGTATGTTAAAAAACTTACCGGAAGCTGCAGAGGAAAAACTAGTTGAAATATTCAACAATGTCCTGATATCAGGATGTGTACCCGAAGACTGGAAAATAGGGGAAGTTGTCCTTGTGCTCAAAAAAAATCCTCCTACACGCATAGAAAATTATCGGCCAATAACTCTTATCTCTTGCATAAGTAAGCTAATGACCAAAATAATGGCAAAACGAATATCTGCAGCAGTGGAATCTTCGCAAATTTTAGGCCTAGAGCAGCAAGGTTTCAGAAAAGGGAGAAGATGTGAAGATAACATCTATCTTATCAACTCAATACTAACTAAAGCTGAGCAAAAGAAAGCTGTCACTCACCTGCTTTTCCTAGATCTGAAAGAGGCGTATGATAGAGTTGATAGGATGATTTTGTATAAGAAGCTATCGCAGCTGAACTTCCCTGCCTCATTCATAGACTTCCTCAAAGACTACTATAGTCACGACTACATAACATCCTCTACAGCAGGATCAACAACTCGGAAATTGTATCTGACACGTGGATTAAGACAAGGTTGTAATTTGTCTGCAATTCTATTTATAATTTACCTGTCGAGTTGGGGAACCGCCTAAGGAAGGCAAATGTAGGAATACCAGTTTACAATAATATCCTTTTGTCCTTTCTGAAGTTTGCTGATGATCTCGTTATGTTTAGTGGGTTATGGTCGGAGATAATGATCTTGATAAAAATATTAGAGAAGTGGTGCCAGGATTTTAGAATGGTTATTTCAGTTTCCAAAACTAAGGTGGTTACACCGGATAAAAATCTACTTTGGAGGATCTTGAACCTTGAATCAGGGAAATATGAAGACGTAGAAAGACTTCAGGATTTTAAGTACCTAGGAATCTTACAAAAGTATGGAGTAAACTCAACAATAGTATGCAATGCCGCAAATAAATTAGAAAAGGCTAAGCTTTATCAAAGGAACATCTTGAGAATGAGACGACTAATACCAGATAGGATAGAGGTGTATCTAGCTATGTGGAACAATGTAGCTATTCCAAGTATCATATATGGACTGGAAGCTATTCCCTTTGATAAAACACAAGAAGATGACCTGGAAGCTATTCAAATCACTCTTGGTAGAAGCATACTTGGAGTTAGGCATTCTACGCCGAGTCTAGTCATATATACAGAGCTAGGTTTAAAACCAATAGGTCTATTAATATCAGAGAGGAAAATAAGATATATTCAGAATGTCCTAGAGAAAGATTCCCAAACTAGTGAATTAGTTAAACTATTAATGATACAAGAACTAGCTGAGAAATCATCCCCTTTCTACAAAGATTTAGCAAGACGAGTAGAACCCATAAATCAGAAGCCAGAAACAATAAACTCTACATCAGTAGCTTTGCTGAAAGAACATAGTATTCAGGAAATAATACACAAAGTCAATTCTTTAAAATCACTGGCAGCTCTACCAATACCTAAAGCATGGTGGAGGAAACAAGAGTACCTAAAAGACGAATCCTGGTCCCTAGCTTTAACTGAGTTTAGAGTAGGGAATGCCAAGCTGGGAAACAGGGATGATCATCTGAAGGATTTAGCAGTTTCAAATCATCAGGATAGGGTTGTAATATGTCCTTTGTGTCTAAAAGGGTCCAATAATGAAATTCACCTCCTTGTACAATGTACTGTTAGGGTAGATGTTAGAAAGTCACTTAATGTATCAGAAGAAGTCTCTCTGCAGTCTTGGATTGACACTAACAGGCAACTGGGAGAACAACCAGTCAACACTGTAAGGAAATTCCTTGAAGGCCAAAAAAACCTACCCTTGCAAGATTATGTGACACGAGGATATATACTGATTGAACTAAGGGACCAATTCTTCTCTAAAATCCATATGAGGCTGAACTAAAAGTAAGTTTAATTTAAGCAATTAAGTCTATGATTTACGAAATGCTGGCTAGAATACTGGTAATCCCTATAACTATTTTTTAATACATGTTTATTGTTTACCCCTTAAATTCAAATTATACCTAACAACACTTTAGGTAAGTATAAATTTATAAGTTTACACCTCAACCTCAAATTAATCTTTTTAATATTCTATACCTCAATTCCATTTCATATTAATCTAGGTTAAACCCAAAAAGGCCAACTAGGCGTTATATAACGAGGTTGGTGGTGTGCATAGTACTGCTACTGTGTACTCACTCACATCGAACTACCTGAGTAGTTCGTTGAACAAGCCATTATTTTTCGAATAAATTGAATCTTTATTTGGGAGAATTTTTGCGAGTCACCCTAATTGTATCTTATGTCTTATGTCTTATGTAGCAATATTTTGATGTCAACATGTTGTAATGGTTGATTTTCAAATTATTAACGATTTTAAAACTGAATACTTTAAGTCAATTTTAAAAAAGTTTTACTGAAAATACGTTTAAAAAAGAATATTTCCACACTTTGCACAAATTATCGGATTTAAAAAGTTTGCTAACATCAAGTTTCTTGCTTGGATATTTAAGTACAACCATGTTAGGCTTTTATAAACTATAATTTCTTCTACCTTTAGTCATTGTTTCTTCGTATATTATAAAAATAAAATTGATTTTGCAGATTTTTTGTTTTCATTGGTTCAGATTTTTTTTTAGGTATATTGAATACAAACAAACTAACTGTCTGTTGGGGTGTTTGTTTGTTAGTTTGTTTGTTTGTTTGTTTGTATGTCCAATCAAAACTCATCAACCTCTTGACGATTAGCCTCAAATTTTGATTGGTAAAAGTAGGGGAATGTTAAAGACTTCTTAAAAAATGTTCTCAGTTGATTTTGTGGACTTTTTATTTTGACAAAACTAAGTTTCCGGGTAAAGCTAACGTCCCAAGCTAGTTATATATAGTTAGTTGGTTTTGGAGAATAAGGAACACTTTTTTATTCTAATTTTTGTTTAGAAATTCGCCAGTGAAGGATTACGAACTCTAGTACTGGGTGTAAAGGATCTAACCCAGGAACTATTTGATGAATGGAAGACAGAACATCACAAGGTTGGAAAACTGCCTTTTTTCTTTAGAATTTTAATAAATACAAATCAGTTCTTTTTCTAATAGATTTTTTGTATGAACTTTTAGTTTTATTTTCTTCCTAAACTCATTCTTTCTTTAACTCTTATGAACTTTTTGTCCATTTAAAACATTTTTGTTCACGAAGTTTTTTTATTTCGTCAACTATGTGTTTTTCATTTGACCTTTTTGTTTCATTAATTCTCATCTCAACTTCTTATTTTTCCTCCTTAAAAAGTATTTAAAGGGAGTGACCGGCAATGTATGGTAGTTGAACAGAGAATTCAGTTTTGTGGAGAAATTTTTTTAGGATTCATTTGAGACATAAAAAACGTTTTAATGGAGAATAATAACTGAGTTTGAGCGCAAAGTCGAAGTTCAAAGTCATCCATTTTGGTGGTTACGTTTTGAGAATCTATTTTTTTAAATCATTAATAAAATAACGACGACAAAAAATGTAAAAAAAATCTACATTAGATGATTAGGAACATATTTCTCAATTGAAATTTTCTCATTTAATCAATTTTAGAATCAATTATTTCTTTTTCATATTTATATTAAATTTCTTATTCTTTATGAATTTGTGCGTAGATTTCTTCAAATTCTTCAAATGTTGTCTTTTCAACCAGGAAATCTACTGAAAATGTTTGTGAACAATAAGACATTACTGAAACCTATAACTGAATAAGATTACTTATTTTCGATGATAATAGTTAATTTTTATTTTCTGAACTTTTTCATTAACAGCTAATAAGTTTACTGTAGAATTTTTATTACACTTTTCGTCGTCGTTATTGAATAATTTTTAAAACCCGATTCTCAAAATTTTCAATCTATGAGGATTTTAAAGATTGTATTTGCGCTCTTGCTGAACAAATGTGCACCGTAAAAACGTCTCACAGGTCTCAAATAATTCTTAACAAATTTCTCCACAATACTACATTCTCATGGTTCAATTACCATACGTGGCCAGTCACTCCTTTTATGTGAAAAAAAATTATTTTTATTTTATTGTTGTATTCTTTAGGCTGCCGTATCTCTGGAGAACCGTGATGAGAAGCTGGATGAAGTTTATGATATGATTGAGAAAGATTTACATCTTGTAGGTCTGTACAGGGGGTCACAGACTGTACAGTGTACACTGTACACTGTAGAGGTCATAGGGGGTTCCATTAAACATGGAAATCTAGCAAACAATGAATGAATGATCAAAACGGTTTTTATATATTTGTATATTTGTATTTAAATATTTATATTAGTAATTTTGACATTTTATGTTAAAGGGACTGTAAGCATTATTTCAAGTGACCTTCTGTTAAAGAGGAACATTCCCGATTCGCAATAGTACCCTTTAAACCTTGGACTAATCTATTTTTTAACTGTTTTGATTGAAATCAATGACAACGCAGATTTTTTCAATTATTAAAGATTGCACCACTTTTGAGTCTGTCAATAGAGTGTTATCAACAAAAAATTGCATACTTGGTAAATTAGGGAAATATTGAATAAATTTTGGGAAATTTGAAATAAGTTAAATCACACCTAGGAAATGCTAGGATTACAAATATAGTATTTTTTATTTGTTAAAATAGTTTACTTTAAAAATTCGCGTAGATCAAAGACGATTTTAAAGTGTTCTATAAATTTTCGTATTTATTATAACTCCCTTAATTTACATAATTCTCACGTCACCTTGGAACTTTATGTAAGCCTGACCTTGATTTTTATAATTAATAACCTTGATCAATTACTTTTATATTTCTAACCTCCAAGAAATGAGGTTAAAACTTTAAAGCTTTTAATTTTAATGATGACGAAGGAAGGGGTGGGAGGGATTGTGGTCTGTAGATTCTATATTGAATGTTCTTTTGCCATCTTTTTATACTTCTTTTCAAACTAAAAATCAATTATTAGGACAAGGTCAGATCTCATTATATATTTACCAACAGAAATTTATTTTTAACTGACCTTTTATTTAATATATGAAACAGTTAACTGGCCTTACTCAAACATTATTAATGCTCTAGAACAAAATACAAAAATCTTTGCTTCCATTTTTTTCAGATATTATTAGCAACATTTCTAAATCATTAAAGATAAGTTTCCTTATTCTGAGATTAATGAATGATCAAGCATTCGAAACATAATGAATTTTGGATTGGGCAATTAATATCATATTGCCAGAAATTTTATTATTAATCAGATTCGCATAGAAATTGATTTAAACGGTTCTCAGAATTATCTTCTATGTTGCCCGATGTCGTACATCAGTTTTAACACAACACAATGTTTAAAAACAATACTAAAACACTTGCCGAAATTGAAAAGGAAAGTGACATTTAAAAATCCATACATAGTCCAACATAGGTTTACATTTAAAAATCCATAGTCCCACATAGGTTTACATTTAAAATCCATAGTCCCACATAGGTTTACATTTTAAAATCCATAGTCCCACATAGGTTTACATTTAACAAATCCATAGTCCCACATAGGTTTACATTTAAAAAATCCATAGTCCCATATAGGTTTACATTTAAAAATCCATAGTCCCACATAGGTTTACATTTAAAAAATCCATAGTCCCACATAGGTTTACATTTAAAATCCATAGTCCCACATAGGTTTACATTTAAAAATCCATAGTCCCACATAGGTTTACATTTAAAAATCCATAGTCCCACATAGGTTTACATTATAAAATCCTAATTTATTGCATTGTTTTTCATAACCTAACATTTGACGGACTGTTTTGCTCCAGGTGCCACAGCAATAGAGGATAAACTGCAGGACGGAGTATCCCAGACTATTGCAAACCTGGAGATGGCTGGGATTAAGATCTGGGTTCTAACAGGGGACAAACAGGAGACAGCTATCAATATAGGTCAGCTGGTTCTTATTCATAGATAAATTTATAACAAGACGGTCTGAGAGTTCCATGTTGGGTTCTCTTTCATTATTTCTTACTTCTTAACTATTAAATTGACAGAATTAGTTAATCTTATTTCCTTCTCTTGGGAGAATAACCCGAGCTGAAAACTCTTATATTGCAGATTTTGAGCTCAATGCTTGATCTCCTCTTGCTGTTAATCTGAAGATTAACTAAATCTTTATTTGATCTCCATTATCCAGGAAAGTTTATAAAATTCAACCTTTTTTACAGGATACAGTTGTAACCTATTGAGCTCTGAAATGGAAGAAGAACCATATATAGTAGATGGAACTACTCATCAGGTTATTTACCCCCATACGATAGAACTATTTTGTTCTCAACATCTTATCTAATAAATAAAGTAATTAACATTTCTCTGAAGATGGCTGTGTGGTTTCTATTTTTACATAAAAAAAATATAAATTTTTGAAGAAAAATCTGTTCAAGGCTGTTGAGGAGCAGCTGTTAATTCACAGACGGAGTATAGAACAGCATTTAACTAAATTCAAATCTGTTAAAAACAGAGATGATATAAGGAATAACACCATTTTAAATAAATTAAAAATCCAGAAAAGAATGTGACGTATTATGACAGATCTCGAACTAATTTTATATCTAAAAAACGGATAAATTACAAGGATTGCTCAGGCTCGATCCTCCTGCCATGTCCAGTTTCCCTTATGTTCAAGCCTTGTTTACAATAGTTTATATTGTTTTCAATAAAAATAGTTTAAATGTAAACAAAACCTCCATCCTTGTCTTTTCTCTCTATATTTTAAAGGGACTGTATGCGTAATTTTATGTGACCCTCTATGCAAAATGTCGCTTAATTATTTTGTTTTTTCTTTAATTAAAATGGTTTGAACGTTGTCTAGTATGAGAACATTCAGTGATGGGAGTATTGCAGAGAGTTTAGGAGAGCGTGGTCCAGATTTAGCTCTAGTAGTTAATGGTCATAGTCTAGTCTATGCTCTTCAACCTGATCTAGAACTCTTATTTCTTGGTTAGTATTTTACCCAAGAACTCAAATATACTTCGATTGAGGTCTCAAAAATCTAGTTTTTCACGACATTTTTCTCTTTATGTGAACTGTAAATTGAGTATCTAGACAAAGTTTGCTGAATAATCAACGTGTAGTTGAACCACTTCTTTTAAACGTGAATCAGCGCACATGAGAAGTTGTTTAACTTTGTCTAAGTAGTTCAACTCATTTCGCTAGTTATTAAATTTGAGCACTGTGTAGATGAACTTCTATTTTTGATTATGATAGTAATGATAATAATGATAATTATAATGATAATAATGATAAGAATGATAAGAATGATAATAATGATAATAATGATAATAATGATAATAATGATAAGATTAATAAGAATGATAAGAATGATAAGAATGATAATAATGCTAAGAAGGATAATCCTGTACAGGAGTGGCTGAGCACTGTACAGCTGTAATCTGTTGCCGCGTAACTCCTTTGCAGAAAGCTCTAGTGGTTGAACTAGTCAAGAAACACAAGGATGCGGTTACACTGGCAATAGGAGATGGAGCTAATGATGTCTCGATGATTAAAGGTATCAGTTAAAACTTAAAGGAACTGTAAGCGTAATTTTAAGTGTCTTTCGAAGAAAGCAACGCGCGATTCACAACGGTACCTAATTAAAGCTATAGTCTAAATTAGATATTAATGTTTATAATTTTGAAAACTGATTATTTTCAACTGTGGTTTCTCTATAAAAATTACTTGCGCATTTTTACTGAAGAAAATATTTAAAAACATGGAAATTACGCCTACAGTTTCTATAAACCTTAAAACTTATCAAGATTTAATTTCATTGTGATTCTCCGAATAAGGCACTTATCGTAAAATTTACAAATCGTTTGTAAGTTAAGTTTTTTTTGTTTACATGAAGATTATTTCATTAAAGAGCAAAATTATATAGTTGGTTGATTGTTAATAATTATTATGATAAAAATAATACGTGAAACAATGAACTTTCTAATAAATTATTAAAATGAAATTATATTCCAGACAATTAAATTTTCTTTGTTCATTATTAATTTTTAATTAGTGAAATCCTGTTTGAGTAGAAAAACTTATTATTTTGTTAATGGCAAATACAATATTAATTAAATGGTCAAACGGTTAAACTTAAAAATCAATTTTTTTAAGTTAACAAATGAAAGAATATCCTTTAATAAGAATTTTCGGGTGAAAGGTCAATTGATAATTTTCATAGATTTTTGTTTTGATTTAATAAAATTATTTGATGAATCAATAGACGAGAACTATGAAAATATGATCCAATGATACATTCATAAAAAAAGAAATATGAATAAAAGAACAAACTAAATAATAAATTAATAAAAAAAGGGATTTTACATCTTTGAAAAGGACAAATATACTTTTTATTGTATGAGTTCTGATCTCGTCTGTTCTATTCTTATTTCGATCCGATTTTCTAAAATCCGCCTCAGCCCTAAAAAGAATATTTTTTTGTAGCTGATTCTAATATAACTTTGCTGGTCTGATCTGGTTTTTCTTTAGCATCTGAGATCTGTTTTTATGCGGTTTGATCGACAGAAAAAATAGTGTAAACTTTACAATAAATTAACTGAACATTTAAATGTTTAAATAAATTATATTTACAGCGGCGGATATCGGCGTTGGAATCTCTGGACAGGAAGGAATGCAGGCCGTTCTAGCCAGCGATTATTCTATAGCACAGTTTAGGTGATTATTCTATAGTACAGTTTAGGTGATTATTCTATATAGTACAGTTTAGGTGATTATTCTATAGTACAGTTTAGGTGATTATTCTATATAGTACAGTTTAGGTGATTATTCTATACAGTACAGTTTAGGTGATTATCTATATAGTACAGTTTAGGAGATTATTCTATAGTACATTTTAGGTGATTATTCTATATAGTACAGTTTAGGTGATTATTCTATAGCACAGTTTAGGTGATTATTCTATATAGTACAGTTTAGGTGATTATTTTATAGTGCAGTTTAGGTGATTATTCTGTTGCTCAGTTTAGGTGATTATTCTAAAGTACAGTTTAGGTGATTATTCTAAAGTACAGATCAGGGGATTTTTCTCGCATGTTTCTGGAATACCCTTTTCCACATTGGATAAATTATTGAATATTGATTATTGGTTATTGTAAGACATGCATACAGCATTAATACTGTCTAAGGTCTATCGTCACTAAAACTAGAATATTTATAGTTTTAATGGGACTAAAATCAGTACTTAGGATCCGGATCCGGATCTTTTAGATCTGCATGATTTTGGCTTCCTGGATCCGGATCTTCAAAAATATGCGGATGCACGGATCTTGATCCAAGAGGCATAAATATTAAATAATTTGAAGAAATCTGCGAATAAATTCAAAGAAAATAAGAAATATAATGACGAAAACGAAATAATTGATTCTAGCATTGATTTATTGACAAATTTTTTTTTGAGAAATATGTTCCCTATCATCTAATTAGATTACTGTATGATTTTAACTTTATTTTTCGTCGTCGTTATTTAGTAATGTAAAAAAACTGATTCTGAAAACGTATCCACCCCCAAAGTAGGAGTTTTATATGTCTCAAATGAATCCTAAAGAAGCTTTCCACAACCCTGCATACTCAGTTCAACTACCTTGCATAGCCGGTCTGTCCCTTTAAAGAGGCCGACTATCGTCTTCTACAGTGTCTACTTTTTTCCCATCTTTAACTTGAAAAGATAAAAATAATTCCAATTATATATTTGACATGAATTTAGGTACCTGGAAAGACTACTGTTGGTTCACGGCAGATGGTCATATTATAGGATGTGTAAATTTTTAAGGTGAACTTCATAATTTTCTTCCTTTCACAAATTTTTTTGAATGCACTGTTTTTGCCTCAATTTATCATATTTTATTACCAGGAATTTTAAAGTATTTTTTACAAGTGGGAAATATTAAACAGGAATGATACTGCCGTTTCATTTAAATAATTTTTGTAAATTTTGTATTTAAATTTCATGAAACTTTATGAATAGACTTTAGAATTGTTTAACAACGCCTTGCTTGGAATCTACTCTTTTTCTTCCTAAATTCGTAATTTTTCCTTGCTGTCGAGAAATCCCAGATAATTAAATCATTTTATTTTTCAGATATTTTTTCTACAAGAATTTTGCGTTTACGTTGTGCCATTTCTGGTATGCGTTCTTCTGTGGGTTTTCAGCACAGGTAATTTAGTTAAAATTCTGTTTTTGGATAAATGCAATGGTCGTAAAAATATCGTTGGTCGTTGAATATTAAGATAATCTAACGTCAACTTTAAAGTGTTGTTAAAAGTTTGATTTGATTTGCTTTTCTTCAACAATATTCTATAAATAGAAAAGAGTTGCTATTTTTTACAACTAACTTTATTAAACAGCATCTAAAAGGTTAAAATGTCGTCCTTAATTTTGGTAACCATTGAAACTAAATTTTTTTATCTAAAAAATATTCTCTTCCAGTGCATTTTTAACTAACAAAAAAATAAAATTCAATAATTTTATGAACTAAAAAAACGTAACTTCCAGTTGTATATTTCACCTTTGGCCCAAGGAAGTGTTCACTTATTTGTTGATATTCATGATACCTAATTGTTTTTAATATGAAATATGTCCAAGTTACTTGTAAGCCCCAAACGGCTAAATGGTGTTCCTCATTTAAAAGAATGGATTATATGTTGTAACAACTTAATAATCTCTTTAAAGGCAGTTTATGATTGGGTGTTTATGATGCTTTATAACTCCGTGTACACTGTTCTACCTGTGCTACTAACCGGCAGCTTAGACCAGGATCTACCTGCAGCCACTATACTCTCAAATCCTTCTTTATATTCCCGGATTGGGAAGGAAGGATGTGTGTTTTCCTACTTAAACATTTCTCTTCTTCTCCTCAGTTCGGCAGCAGAGGCATTTGTTCTGGTTTTTGCAGTTCTCGGTAACTTCTCCTTCCACCCCTCGGCAACTATGCCATCCACCCCTCGGCAACTATGCCATCCACCCATTGGCACTTTTCTCCATTTCCTCTCGCTCTTTGACATTGATTGAATAAAAGAAGATAACTTTCCTAGTCTCGAATATTAAATATGATATCGGACAGTTGAAAAATTACACTTAACCTTAGCATGATACAGTTTTACTTATGTACTCTAACTAACCCATTCCATTGTGTACAGAATGTGTACGACGAGTTCTTCCTCTCGACCTATAACATGCTGTACACGGCTGCGCCGGTCGTAATGCTCGGCGCACTTGAACAGGATCTCACCCCAACCACTGCACTCAGATACCCTGGTCTATACCAGCCGGGTTTACAACACCTCTGGTTTTCTAGAAAAGTCTTCGCGACTTACGCCATTCATGGTCTCATTACTAGTCTTGCTCTCATCGGGGTAACCATGGGTAAGACAACAAAAAAAAACTCTGTGTTTGCATGATATGTTGAGGCTGACAACCCTTTTATTTTTTATCACGCTTTATTTATTAGCATGGTTTATTCGCTTTGAAACAACATCAAATGGACTTCAGGATTTTCAGACTGTTTTGGACCCAAGTTTTATCGCCGTGTACAACCTGTTGTACACCAGCCAGCCTGTCCTCGCCCTGGCATACTTTGACCAGGACGTCAAGCCGGAGATGGCAATCAAGGTTCAATCCTCTCATTCGTCCAGGAACTAAACTAGTTAGTTTAATCAGCCCTCACCTTTACAATTTGAATGTCAACATGGAAAGTTCAACCATTTTTTATTAATGACATGATATAAAATGAAGATAAATCGATTCCCTCTCTTACACCATGTTTAACAAACAAATTTTTAAAATCTAGAATTACTTTTAACTTTGATAGAAAAGTTTTCTTTGAAGTGCATGGTCTTATCGTTGCAATTTTTCATTTTCCTAATCCCTATATCCTTGCAACCTGACGATGTAAACCTGTGATATTTCAAACTATTTGATATGCTAGTATATCAGTGAGAACTTGAAACATTGATCTGTAACTTTGAAGCTGTTGGCAAATCTCAACACTTTGGATTAGATTTGACGATACCAGGTTGCATATGATATAAGGATTAAAAATTAGAGTTTGAGGCAACTGCACAGTTACCTTCTGAAGATTATGATACTACATATTTAATCATGTATTTAAACTTTTTCAATTTAATGGAAAATTTGTAACCTTTCCCCCCCCCCCCCCCC